ATTTATCTACTGAGGGCTGAAACCATTAGAGAAATTCAATAAACCTTTTGGGAAACGCACCGTGTTCTCGTTAATTTTAACAAAATATATGTTTCAGGGAAGAACGTGGCTGGGCGCAAAACTGATTTCAGTTTTCCCTTTACGAGAAAACTTCCCGTTCTTCCGAGTTCCATTGCTAGATAAAGTTATTTCACGAGGTGTTTCTATTTATTGAACATGAATTGTTTGATCAATATGGCATTTGGCATATTTAGTTGGAGATATCAATAGCTCACTAAGATATAGCTACAGATAAGACACAAACGTGATAACGAGCACTGTGTAAGTCAGTTTAAAAACGAAAGACCAATGGTAATTTTACCAATAAAAAAGGTATTACGAAAAAGTTACTCAACTAAATATTATGCGAGTTTTGTTCCACGTTGTTGTGGTTTAATTTTATACATCAACCGACGTGTTTATTGGAAAAAGACTCAAAAGTAGGATACCAGTCGATGATAATGAGGAACTACAACACGTTCAGTGAGCGAGTAAGGTCTTACGGGCTTACCGGTAACAGTTTTAATTAAAATAACCTGCATTCATCGTGCCTGAGAGAACTAAAATCTATCTTTCAACACAATGGAAGATTTGAGTAAAAACATTTTATCTCAAATAGTTGTGATGCAGTTCGCATTTGCATTCAAGTCTTTTCTAAAATTTGTAGATGTAAGCGTTTTCGCTACTTGGCTGTCACAATCCGTGTAATTTGACCCACACGCGAGTGATACAGACGGAATATTGATAAACGCGAAAGAAATGCATAAATATTTCAAGACTCGGCGATCCCCAAGAGAGGCCTTCATACTCAGTCGCTTTTCGACGAGCCTATTAGTTGCAGACAACCAAGAGTTGTTCAATATCGCATCAACTTGTATCGTGTATTTTATTTTAGTTGAAAAATGAATAGTGTTTGATTTGTTATAAAGTAAAAAGCTACAATTTTAAAATACGAAGAATACTATACATTTGAAACCACGTCAGAAACATGCGTGCCGTAGTCTGCAGGGAGTCCAGATTTCTCCGTAAATATATATAGAAAGAGAATAGAAATACAGTACTTTATTGCAAATTTCACACCGCCATGATTGCTAAGATTCATTTATAGATAGTATTTACATAAGCTTTTTTTCATTTCGCCCAATATATATATATATATTTACCTAAATAAAACTAACTGAATTTCGACAGCTTACGGCCCATTATATATACGGCCGTAAGCAATATAATATAATATATTGGGCCGTAAGCTGTCGTTTTATTTAAATATATATATATATTTACTTAAATAAAACTAACTGAATATCGACAGCTTACGGCCCAATATATATACGGCCGTAAGCAATATATATATATATATATTGGGCCGTAAGCTGTCGAAATTCAGTTGGTTTTATTTAAGTAAATATATATATATATTTAATTAAAACGAAAATATTTAAATATATATATATAAATAATATAATAAAAAATATATATATTTAAATAAAAAATTAAAAGTTTTATTTAGGTAAATATATATATATATATATACAGTGGTGGTGGTGGGATTCAAATTTTTTGTCAGCCGGTTCCATCACAAAAGTCATATTTTTCGGCCGATTCTGTTGCAAAAAGTAATTGACAGTAACCAGTAATGGTTAGTAACTAACGGTTCACTGATCTCATAAAATTCCGTGAGACGGTTCTATAGAACCGGTGCGAACCGGCTGAATCCCACCACTGTATATATATATATATTAGGCGAAATGAAAAAAAAGTTAGTTTCAGTTAGTTTTATTTGGTTCAGTTAGTTTCATTTAGGTAAACATCGCGTGGAAATTGCCAGAAAGCAAACTCAACTGAATAATGTTGTCCACAAAAAAGATGATCTTGGGCTCAATTTTTTCATTTTTCGAATTTATTGAAAATGTAGCTTTCACACAATGCCTGTAAATTAAAACCATTTGAGGCCGACGTCTTACGAAAGGTAAGGAATATCTGGAAAGTTATAGCCATAGGCTACTGTTTAGGGTTTCCAATCCATGATCTGATTTTGTTGTCTACTGATCGTGACTGTCGCACTTTTAGAGTCAGGGGAAATGATCCAAAACATTACTCACCTAAATATCATTACACGATGAAATGAGGCACATGTTTACTTTAATCTCGTGGAATATAGCGCATTATTTACATTTAACATGTGATGACCAGAAGCAATCGATACCCGTGAATACGATTCTGTTATAAATCTAAAACATAAACGAAATTACATTTTGTCAACCACGTTCTTCGCGGCGCTGACACTATTCGCAACGACAGAGCAAATTTATAAAAATCTATTTCCTTTTGTCGTCGTTGGTTTTAACTAGTACCTTCTTGACAAAAATTACACTCCATGCAAGGTAATGAATGTTTTCCCGATCAACGACTACCGGCTCATTACCGTATCAATAGCGAATCAGCAATAATTTGACGGTGATATAAAAATTTAAATATGGGCAGACGCCTGCATACTTTTATCACATACGAATTTTGAATCATGTTTGTGAATATTGATCCGTTTTCGTTGTTTTCTATCTGCCAATTTTTAGTTGTGCTTCCAAAATTTTGGTATAAATCAAAACAACTTGATGATCATTCCGTCTTTTGAGGAGTTTGAGTTTAGTTGCGGTAATCTGAAATTAGTCTCCAAAAAGCTATGATATACTAGGTTAAAACTAGCAGCTTTCAGTACTTTTCGGTACGAGTGATTGAAATATTGAAATAAAATTATGGTTATGAACAGTGTTCTCTCTTAGAAAATATTACACTGCGCAATTGTTTGTTTTAGTGAGCATGAATATTTTAGGGCTTAGCAGAGTCCTAAATGATTCACAAACTTTGTGAAATATTACAACAACAGTATTTTATTATAATGCCAACTAAGTACGTACACAATTAACTCTAAAAGCTGTTCCTTATCCCGCGCAGGCATTGGAAGCTTGGCTTACAGTAGCTCTTCCCAGATGCTTCAGAAGAAATCCATGTACTTGGACGTAACAGACACGTGTGTGACATCACAATGAACAAAGGAAACGAAAATACTGTTGAAACATGGAATGGGCATTCTAGCGAGGCTTTAGATTTAGAAGTATGGCGGGCCACGCTTTGAGAACGTAATGTCGCACTCACAGGTGCGCGAGAATGCGATTTTATTGCGCAAATGGTCCGGTGGTACTGTGCAATGGCGCACCTTGGAGGGAACCTTGGTTATGAACATGTAAACAAGCACCAAGTACCCTATAAATAGGCATGAAAATTTTTGCAATGGGGAAGTATTGAAAAAGTTTCTCTAGGATTGAAGGTCGGGCAATTTCCATTGGCCGCATTCATAATTTAACAGATCTCCCAACTCAACCCGATGTCTCCCACAAATCTGAGCCACAATTGACACCTCCCGAAAAAAATTAAGTAAACCATTATTAAATAAAGTTATACCTCGTCGTTCAAACGTGCGCAAGACACGATCAATAGAACATTTTCAAGACATCGCTTTCAATGTACTACGGCTGTAGTGAGCACTTATATGGACGATTTGTCTATTTCAGCTCGTTGTATTCAACTTATATACGGCACGGTTTGTTTCGTGATTTTGGTTTGTTTGTTCCGGCTATCTAATCCCAAATCTCAATATAGGTTCTTCTTATCACATGTGCCAAATCTTGCGCTCTGGTCGACATCGATGTTGTATTTTATTTCTTGAAGAACCGCGCGTTTTGCGAAACCAAATCGAAAGCTATTGTGCGATCATCGGTCGGGGAAAATTATAGGAATAAATTTGCAACCCAATTTTAGTTCAATATGACTATTATCTTTCGCGTAGGCCAGGGCTGTCTAACACGACGATCGCAAAGTCTCGAGTAGTCGATCGCGTCCGATATTGAGTTAATTTAATATATAATACCCTGCAAAATTGCCTTGAACCTGTTTCATGCAGCGCCTGTAAAGTTTATTGCTGCAGGTAGAATACAGTACTATACATGCGCAAAATACGATACACACATACAGTATTTGAGTCTGTGCAAACAACTGCAAAGGGGGCTTTGACCGATGAACGACCCTTTTAACTTCCGCGTACTGCGGAACTGCGTACATGTTTTCCGTTCAAGGCTGTAACCGCGGTACGCGGAAGTGATTGTCTCTCTCCAACAATAGTGTTGTAATACATGGGTACTTGGCAAAGTTTTTTGAAGAATTTGCAACACTTACGACTAAATATTAAGCGGGCCTCATATCTGAATTGTATGATTTGAATAAATCTCAAATGGATGATGAAACATTTACTCCGAGTACAATTACATAATCACATATGGAACGTAAAAAATACAATTTTTTTGTGACGATTCCATCAAGAGTGCGCCCACAGAATCGAGCTTCTTGGCAGCGGTGGAATTTTATGTATGCTTGTGTGCAGTTATCTGCATATTCTGCATGTGTGACTTTATTACCGAGCAGTCGATCGCGAGCTATTTCGAAGATTATAGTCGATCGCGATCAAATGCAGCTTGGCCACCAATGGTGTGTGCATTGATCATACTTATCGCCACCGTAAAATAAAAATTGTACTGTACAATATCTTTTCTACTGGCTTTTTTGCGCTAAATAAAAATTTGTCACTGCGTAAAATCGCGTCCATATTGTGTTCAGATATTCGCAATGGCTTTGTGCAATCCAAGCGTTTGTGAAGCGACGCGCAAATTCTAACGTAAATCAGAACTGGTATATATATATTTATTTAAGTTTGCGGCCCGCAGTGAGTTTTCATATGTGAAAGTGGCCCGCGACACTGAAAAGGTTGGACATGCCTGACCTAGTACCTACCGTTGGGGCCTTCGTGATGGTCCGAACCCTACTACATAATTCCCTGGTGATTTCCAGGGAAGCGATTTACATTGTTTTATTTTTTTGAATAAAAATATTTTTCAAACATATTTTTCAGAGCGTACAATAAGAACAACTATTAAATTAAAACGAAAATTATGGCGAAGACATTCGTTATTGCAGTTGTATTGGTAACATTAACACTTTTACAACCTATGAATTGTCGCAGAGGCGGAGGGGGCCGTCGTGGAGGCTCTGGAAGACAATCAAACACTCGAGCCCAGCCAAATTATCCAAGACAGCCCAGTTATCCACGACAACCAAGTTATCCAAAACAGCCTACTTATCCACAACAACCAAGTTATCCAAAACAGCCTACTTATCCACAACAACCAAGTTATCCAAAACAGCCTACTTATCCACGGCAACCAAGTTATCCCGGACAGCCCAGTTACCCACGACAACCTACTTACCCTAAACCAGCTCACCCGAAACCAAAGAAGAAAAAAAGTTTTTTTAACAAGGGTGGATACAAAAGTTTTGGTAAGAATATAAAATTCATATATATATTTGAAAAAAAAAAAAATAACAGCGTTGCTCTTGTCTTGCGTCATCTCGTAGTATCACATTCAATTTAAAATTTTGACACGATAAAACAGAATGCTACTTTTCTGGAATTCATTGTATTCTTCAAGCGAGAGCTTGTTTCAAAATGATTCATTTTTAACTCCGAATGTTTTTATAGAATTTTCTCTCAACAAAAATAAACAATCATAAATTATTGACATTGCAGCAAAAATTGCTGTTGGGGCGTACTTACTTCAAAAGATGAAACCGAGCGTTGGATTCAGAGGTGGGCACAACAGATACGGCAGTGGTCGAAACCGTCCTGATTATTGTTCTGATTGCATGTCTATAGATGGGTCTGATGTAGGGTGAGTATGAGATTATTAGAAAACGTTGACCTCAAAAAAGGCAATCATACAAGTTATAATAAGCAGTTATAATATAGGCCAAGAGATATATTGTAGTACTCAAAAGCTGACTTTTGATACATCCGCGCATATTATATTTCTTTCTTTTTACTGCTGCATTTAAACTGAGACCCATCAGGGTTTTTAGTAGGTCGACGGTGCTCATATGCTGTAATAGACAGCATGCATATCGGTGTCATAATTGTAACAATATTATATTATGTACACGCAAGTTGAGAACAACCAACTTGTTATCTGCAATATTTATGTTGGGCAATTTTACCTTATATAAATAATTCAAAAGTTTACATCATCAGGTGTGAAAAAGGATACCGCGTTGATATATTCTCAACGCAAAGATCATGCAGACCTTCAGTTTTTAGACCTTATTGCTCGGTAAGAAAATGAATATAAATTTATCAATTGGACATATCTTTTTTGATTTTAACATTGATATGCGCTCGATATATCCTTATCTAAGTAACTTCGAAACAAAAACATGATGTTATTGAATTCAAAAACTGTTTAACTACATACTTGTGTGAAAGTGGTCACAACTTTTTTAAAACATATTCATTAAATGTGGAAATGTATGGAAAACGCTTTTAAGCACTACCATAGTTGGATAACGCAATGGCGGTTTGTGAACTGATCTATATTTAGTTGATATTGAACGTGCAGCGATCGATTTTTCGCCAAGTGCAATTCGTCAAAATGGGATTTATATTGACAATGGAGAACATTTGCCCTTGAACAGTAGACATGGCAGACATACATGAATACGAAGCCGATATTCTCCGGGATTCCAACATTGGACGAATAAAATTTTTTTATTGTGCGATTTGGCTACGAAAGATTTCTTCTCTGAATAAGCATTCCACATTTCGGTTTATTAATATATAAATAAAATTTCCAGCCTGTACAGCATTTTGTTATTATTTTACGCAGACAGAATATGGAATAACAAACGAGAACCTTACCTATGTCAGAAGATCATGTAATGAAAGATGGTGCAAGTCATGTACACAGCAACTCGTCACGGCCACCGGAAAAGCTGAAATGAAGTGTTATACAATACAATGTGATCTTTGTACAACAGACAAGTTAGTATATATTTTATCGTTTTTGTCATATTTGATATTTTATTGAGATCGAGACATTTAAAAATGTTCTAACGAAATTTAAATTTTTTTTTTTCAGGCTAAGTGCAAGGCAATTGATTCATAATAATTATCGAGTCAGCTTAAAATAGTTTGTATAAAACTTTTGGAGAAACTCCATTCAGACTTCTAAAATAAAAAACCTAGTCCCAATTGTAACGATTTTCAACGAAAATGAAAATACAGGGTGGTCGCTAGAAAAGCAGAAGATCAAGTGAAATCACATATAAAACGCGTCACACTCATTTTTGTTTCTTCCAGGTTTTAGGTTGTTTTAGGTTGACACCATTTTGGTTCTACTAGGATAAAACACTGCTCTAAGGTTCACGGACAACATTTTGAGCATCTATGAGTGTAATATAACATATGCCTTTAAAAAACTTCGTAAAAATAAATATCTGTTTGACAAATTTTCTGTTTTCCTAGCGACCACCATGATATATCGAATATATGCCAGTCATCTGTTCTCATTCACAACTTCTAGAATATGATTTTACAATATTCGGGTATAATGTGATGTTAATTGAATATAATTACTTTTTAATGTAAATATATATATCCATTTCAGCTGTAACAGCTGGGACATGCAACGAACGTTTCACAATGATTGGACTGGAATTATGGAAGCTAACACAGAAGGATCTGGATTCGAAGTCGAAGAAGATGATGGTAGCGGCATTGAAGATGAAAATGAAGATGGTGATCCAGGGAGCTTTGTCCTCATCTCGGGAAACTTGTATTTGACCGCGTGCATGTGTCTGTTAGGTGTTCTGCTGAAATATTGATTTTTCTTTACATGCATGTTAGATGCGAGGAATTGTCGTAATCAGTGAGCAGTGAATTGAACATTGTATGAGCTTTTTGAGCTGCCAATTCACGGAGGTCACGAAACATTCTCATATTAGTGAAAGTTTATCATGTATTATTTTAGTATAATTTTCCCTTGTTCTAACATGAAATTATCAGAGTTATGATGTTTTAAGTTTGCCAAAAATGAACTCGATTTTTTATCGGATGCATCATTTCGATCATGACCGTAAAATGGCACAGTCATATGAAATCTGATAGTTTTATTAAAAATGAATGACTGATACAGGAAATCATAAAACTTGGTACACGATAAACAGTAAAAGCGTTCCGCAATTCTCGTATACCACCATTATGTCACATAGAAACCATTTTTTTATTTGCCTATATTCTTGCCTATGTATACACAACAATATAAAAAGCATTAATTATTTTTTCGTTTTGTAAATGACCTGTAGTTAAATTTTAGAGAGAAACACACGTATTTGCACATAACAAAAATTACATTGGTGGCTTTTTCAATACAATGTCTTGCAAATTCCGATGTGAATGTCTTTTATTTCGCATGCGTTTCAGTAATACTCAAGTTAATTACATTGCTTATTGTGCGTGACTGATAATTAAAATAAAAACATTAAATAATGAAAAGAGAGTAGTATTTGGTTTTTGAACTGGCCTGATCATCGAGCGTTTTGTTTGGGGGAAATTTCGTAAATGTTTCGCAGTGAACTATACAGACTATGATCCAATTGACAATAAAACAGCAAAGAAAACCCTGATACGCAAAAGTATTTAATTATTCATTTTCCCAAAAAATTTACTCACAAGGGCGGTGTTCTACAGAAATATAATGATGTCATTCCCCGAGACAGCCTGCGAATACAACAATGGAGGTAGAATGAGGCACGTGGTTGAATATTTTATGAAAATGATGGTTTTGAACTTATAAATCAGTTTGTAAGCGCCAACTCTCTAAAACAACCTCAAAATAAGAATATATAATAAATTTTGCAATAGTAAAGTATAAGAGTATTTCTTTGGGGTCAAGTGTCGTTCATTTTAAATCTCCACACTCCCATTTACTCCCTTGCGGATCTCGATAAAATATTCATCCATATTTTTTGTACTCACTTTCAATAACTCATGGGGACGATTAAGATCTGGAAGAAGGATTTTTTAATGTGGATATAGAAGTGCAGTTCACGAAACATAACAATGCTATTTTCATAACTACCAATCACAGTATTCTCTGTAGCATTGAAACATTTGTTACACTACATTCGACGTTGAAATCCAAGCAATGTTGCAACCCAATATGTGCGGCATTTTGTCAATTAAACGATTGCAAAATTTACCCCCAGGCAGGACAATGTTATCCCTAATGGGTAAATTTACCCTCTGTTGAGGACCCTTTATTGCACTCTATGTTGCTTCCATGTTTCATATCGGAAACGATTAAAACTATAAGGAAGTCGGTAGAAGATTGGAGGCAGGTTTTCTAAACGAGAACAGACGTTAACGCAATAGTAAATTTCTTGGGCATTTACCAACGAACAGCCCAGAATAATTTTGTAAAAGCACAACTATTGCACGCCAACATCGTCAGATCGCGAACTGAAACGGCGACATCTAATCAAATATAACTCAATATCTCAATACGATATGAATTATGCAAGCTGTTTTGTCTGAAGAGATAAATACCGCAAGTTTAGAGAAGTATATCAAAGTTTCCACTTTCAACGTCTGGAATCATTGAGCTGCATTATAACAAATCAAATTCGTGTATCTGAAACAAATACTTTACTAACTAATCCCATACCCGACATGAACTGCTGGCAACCGGACAAGAGGCCGTGGTTCGTCATATTATTAAGTTGTCCTATCGGTTTTCCTCTCCCTCGGGATAAATATGTCCTATCATATCTTAAACCTCGCGCGGGGGAAATGGTGGATATTTATTTACTGTGACTCACCACAAATGTCGATGGTAGCGTTCTTTGAGAACGAAAACACAATTTTCATATATTTTGTTGGCATATTCAGAAAAGTCAAATCATGAGCCTCATTTTGAGTACGGTATAGAATTTATTCCGAACTCGTACAAACTATATTTGAAATCGCGATGTGTATAGATAATTATATATATATACATTTTTGGAGTCATGTTTTTTTAGCTTCCTCTTTTTCATATTCAGAGAAAACCTGTGGATACCAGGAAAAAGTTTGGCGTCGTTGAGTAGGATATGGACAATAATAGGGATTGTTTTATTTATTTTGTTGGGAATTCATTGAGAGAACACTTACTACTACTTTTTAACAATACCTTTTATCTAAAATATGTACGCTTCAAGCCTTACTTGAGGTTTTGTTTGCTCTCCCAATTCTATAATAAGTTCCATTTATTTTGTTTTTATCAATTATTTCATCATCTATTATGCTGATTATGATGTCGAAATAAACTTATAACTTATGAAAAAATCAAAGTAAAATAAATGTCTAATACTTAAAATAAATACCCGATGTAGATGACTACATACACTTTCTACAGATAGTGATAATTTCATTGTATGTGATTTATGCGAAAATACGATTAATTTTGCCTGCTAGATGATGGCCCATGAGCAGTCTGGTTTGTTAGGAAATTCAGACACTCTTTATCATTGTAATGTAAGCCTTATCAGTAATATATCAATCATGGCTGTAATGAAAGATTAATGCTGCTTCATCTCTAATTCAATCAGCAATGACTGATGTAGATGACTGGTCAATTGGAAGTGAATATATTGATCCTAATAATGTCGAAAAACTGATGTCAAATGGCATGGCGAGTTTTAATATTCTTCATTTTAATGTGAAAAGTTTACAAAAAAGAGTCCACAAATTTAATATTTGATAGATCTAAGTAAAATATTGGCTGATGTAATAGGTGTTTCTGAGACCAAACTGGGACAGGCCTCACCTGATGTGTCCATTGATTGATATGATTTTATTCGTAACGACTCTTACACTAAAGCAGGAGGCGTTGGTCCATATATATTAGATTTAGAATGTATCACATTTCATATACGAGATGATCTTAGTTTAAATTCAATTGGATGCAAAGACCTATGGATTGAAATTAATAAGGCTGGTTCAACCCAAAATGCAAAAATTATCGTAGCAGTTATATATAGGCACCCATCGTATAAATTTGATCAGTTTCTTGATACATTTGTTAATTAATTCCCTGAATTCAAGAAGCTCCAGGGGTGTTTGTGCCTTTATAGTTGGTGACTTCAATATTGAGTTGATGAGATATCAAATTAATAATAATGTAACTAAATATGTTTATAGTATCCATTCTTGTGGTTTTTACGTGACATTAATAAACCCACAAGGGTTACTAATTCATCAGCTACATTATCAGATCATTTTTATTCTAATAAGTTAATCCTGATAATTTTAGAGATCACTTGTCTTGTAGTTGATAAAGATGTTTCAATATCCAACGATATAAACAAAAAATTCAACTTAGTCATAAATACGATCAAATCTATGGTTGCCCAGCATATACCGTATAAAACTAATTCGAAAAATAGTATACTGTTGCTGAAACCACGAAGTTCCAAGGATCTTTACAGGTCGATCAAAACCAAGAATAAAATGTACTGTAAATGTTGCAGAAATAGATCTCAGTTAAAAGTGCGAGAATACAAGAAGTTTCGGAACAAATTATCTAGGGCTAAACAAGATTATTACAAAACAGTCCTTTCTCGCTATCAAAAAGATATTGCGAAAACGTGAATTCAGACTCGTGAAATAATTGGCACTTCATCAAAGAAAAACAAATTACCATCATATTTTATAGTGAATGGCAATAAAATAAATGATGGCAAAGCAGTTTGAACCGCTTTTAACCAACATTTCATAGAAGTTGGTCCTAAACTTGCTTCACGAATAAGTCCAGTTGCAACTGACCATATGCAAACTCTGGGATTAAGCATCAAAGAGTCTTTTTTCCTTCGTGATACAACTCCCCTGGAAATAGAACAACAAATTGACAAACTGGACGTGGATAAGACTTTAGGCAGCAATGATATACCAAATATATATAAATATATCAAAATTGTCAAAATTGCAAAGTTTGTTTTGTTACCTATTTTATGTGAAATCTTTACCCAATGTTTCTATCAAAGTGTGTACCCTGAAATTTTAAAAATACCAAAGGTAGTGCCACTCCCTAAGAAGGGGTCAAAATATGACCCGAATAATTATAGACCTATTTCTCTACTACTATCACAAGTTGCCAATATGTATGAGAATTTTTTATATAAACGAATCAATTTTTTTTTTGAAAAAACAGGTGCTTTGAGTCTGTTCAAGTTTGGTTTCAGAAATAATTATTCTACTGAACTGGCGAAAGCTAGGCTCAAGGAAATGATAATGCATAATAGTATAAACAACACGATCGTCAGCAATTTATTCAGAGTGGGGAATTTACCTCTGAAAGGGGCTTTATCAAATGCGAAGTTACACAGGGTTCCACAATCGGTCCTCTGCTATTTTTATGTTATATAAATGATTTACCAGATACATCTTCCTTTTATTCAACACTATTTGCAGATGATACTTCTCTGTTGAAGTCCGCCTCATTTTTTGTCCGCACTTGTGACTGTAGTGAATAATGCAATACAAAATGTTGCAAAGGCAATTAAAGTATCTTTAAATTACTCCAAGGCAAAATTTATGCTCTTCTGCATTAAGGGAAAATATATTACCCACTTTTATTAGGCAGTGAAAAGATTGAGCGAACCAATAGTGTAAAATATTTGTGGGGTCACGATCGATGATAATCTAAGCTGGAAACCGCATATTAGTCAAATACCTAAGAAGTTATCGCAAACCGTTGGTATTTTTATAGACTAAGAAGTATCTTGAATGTAGAAACGCCCAAAGTAGTTTAATTTCACTCCCGATTGCAATATGAAATTCTTAGTTGGGGATCAGCAGCCAAGTCTTTATTACAGCCAATTCAAGTTTTACAGAATAAAATACTTAAGTGCATATCATTTTTAGAGAAGAGTCGTATAACTATAACCAACCTTCGACTTTTCTGTCAGAATAAAATTTTGCAGATTTCAGAGATGCATACTCATGAAATTGCAAAATTTATGCATCGACATGAAAACGGCCTTCTTCCCCCTGCCTTAAAGACTATCTTACACATCTAAAGAATAAATATTAAGATTAAATAATAAATGAAACATGTATTTTTCATCTGTGGTGCATTATATTTTCAACTTCTGGTTGTATATCAGTGTGACTCATTTATTAAAAGTAGCTTATGCCATATAATAATTGACTCACGTCAAATGGTAGTGTAATCTAAACTATACAATAAATCTGATGTGAAGTGTCGAATGGTAGAATTTTTTTTTATTTATCAGCCGACTCATTTTCTGTTTCATTCCATATTGTAATAAGCCATACTGACAGTTTGATCACAATGTACATGAAATGACCAGGAGCCTCGGTGACCTATAAAGGTCTTGTATACTGACCAGCACAATTTAATGTTTAACTATTCACTGCACTGTATTTCTATAAAAATCTGTACTATTGTCCATTTTTAACATTGTTTTGTGGAAATAAAAAAATGTCTCCTATTACCTGCCGGACGCGACTCCTACAATTTACAGTAAGGCCACATTTCACAACTATAAAAAGTGTGCATTGCTTTCGATCGCTGCAGAACGCATTGTTTCTTTTCGAGATCGCTTTGCCACTTTAGCCTGTAGGCATGAATAGCCTTGTCTGCATATGCATTCTCATCGTGACTGCATCTGCGCTTGGGGGTAAGTGTTTATTTTGTAATAATATACTGATAATGAAGAAAAATAATCAAACTCATCGGTAACTAACTTAAATTCTTGAAGATTGACAGACTGCGTATCCCATCAGCCCATACGGTCTGATCCCACGACGGATGGTTTGCATTGTTCTGTTGTTCATTCCTGCATTCAGTCATTGTACTGTTATAAGATACCGGTAGGTTTCACATATTTATCCCGGGGGAGAGTAAAGGCGATAAGACAGCTTAACCATATGGAAAACCACGGCTTTTCGTCTGGTTACCATTCCATGTCGGGTATGGGGTTAGTTAGTTATTTGTTTTCGGAAGCATGGACTTCCTAATTCTGTAATTCTATGTTGGATATTTCTTACAGAATATGTCTCATTTGACCAACTTTATGATGATGGTCTGACTGCTTATGGAAATCAGAACTGGAAACTTTCAATTTCAAGCTTTGAAGAAGCAATAAAAAGTTACAAGTAAGAAAAGTTAAATTTTTCACAATGCTGCAATGTGTATTACGATGATAAACACTAATCTGTTCTTTGCAGCTCTCCACTGAATAATTTCTGATGTTTCGAAATGATAATAAAATGTTAGTTAGATTTTTAATTAATAGTGTAACAAAGCTTGGGTCTGGTATAGTTTAGTACCACATGCACTTCTAATTGGCCTGGTTCAACAATTTTTGCATATGTCATTCCCCAAACTCACCTGATTACGTCACCAAAAAATTACTTCACTACGACATCACACTGGCATAATAAATACCTCCCAAAGTGTACGAAAGGTCGTCCAAATGCGCAGACGATCACCCGAAATCGAGCAAGCTTTTTCTCTCGTTTTCTCGTCGCAACAATCCCGATATGAGAGGCGTTAGTGAGTTTGGTATCATCGGCGCAGACGCCATTTCGGACGATGGTAGCTATATATGGCAAGCTCTATGACGGGATTGTGACGTCGTAGTGACGTAATTTTTAGATGACATAGTCAGGTGGGGGTTAGGAATGACATACAGGGTTCGTTATGCTACGCCCACCGGAAGTACTTGTGGTACTAAACTATACTAGACCCCAAAGCTGTACTGGTATGCAATTGGAAACTAATGACTGAAATGTGCATTAGTATCACTATCAGGTTTGCACTTTTAAATTGGGATGAGATATTTATTATCAGTCATTTCGTTAATGATCCCACAAGTGATAAAGTTGTCCTATCGCTCCGAATAAGGCCCTGTACAAGCTTACACCGATATGTAAGGAGATACTATTTTAATATTAGGGCCCAAGTTCTTGCCAATTTGGCATTGTCTACCCAATTTATTACCACCAAGGTGAGATGGTGGCAGGGGATTTGAACTTGAGATGTGTAATCTGTCATGCCGCCACATTTAAGCCTAATGCTTCAAACCCAGGCCCAGAATATTTGGAGATTATGAAAACGCTATCTCTAAAAATACTTGATTAAATCCTTAATTTCCGTTCTCAGGCAATATAAAAGTGGTGTTGTCGATTGTTATATGAGATGTAAAAATACTTCATTGGAAGATTCATTACTGAGTCAAAGTGATCTGGGAAAAATTACTCTGAAAGGTGAAATTCATATAATGATTTTCTTATACTTGTGTGTAAGCAATATTAGTAAGATATTACCAATGCAAACATTGTAAAATTGTCACAAGTGAAAAGCTGAAGAAGATATCGATATGACATTGCGAACCTATTTAACCTTCAGTTTCAAGTGCGTTATTTAGTAGGTTTAGCTTTTATTCTATTATAGGTTTGAATCAGGTAACAATAGTGCTTATGATTTTAGATAACTGAATTTGAAATTGTGATTGTTGTTAATTTACTTGGCATATTTAAGCTCTGTCTTTTATTGCAGCTGTGTGCAATCGAGAATGTTTGGATGAAAAATTTGGAGATTTTCGATTTATTTCCGGTATATCTCGTGAAGTGAAGCAAGCATTTGAAAAGTTAGCAGCATATCAATATCTTCAATATGCATATTTTAAGGTAATATTTCAATTTATACTTGGAATAAAAATGAATACTGTCTCCTGCTTCTAAGGCCCAGGGTGTAATAAATTTGCCAGCCAATGCTGAAATGGTAAGATTCTGTGGTCTATTCGAATATAAGAAGCTCCTTACATATCGTAGATATCTGTGGCTGCTTGTGTAGGGCATTGTTTAGAGCGGATGGTGTGAGTGAGCGCTCTATGAAAAAAAATTAATAATTTTGTAATGTTTTCCTATTGCAGGAAGGTCTCTTGGCCAAATCAGTTTCATCTGCTCATACATTTAATGTGAGATATCCAGAGGATGAAATGATGAAAAAGAACATGGCATATTTTCGGAGTAATGATGATGTAACGAAGGATATGTTCTTAAACGTAGAACCAAGAGATCATCTTGAATTATACGATCAGGGTATGGTGTAATTTCTTTACTTCTACTTCTGTTAATTAAGTATTTTGCGACGCCGAGGGCTCAGTTTTAGAAACTCTGTCAGTCCATCGACATGGAGACCATGAAAGCTATTCAACTTGCCAGTGTTTTTTTCTTCATTTTATACGCATAATTAATTTTTACACTATTAATTAAATTTCAGCCGTTCAAGCTTATTTGAAGGAAGATTATGAAAATGCTGCACAAAATTTTGAATCATCTTTACTAGCATATTATAATTCAGTAGAAGAATGCTATGCATTATGTGAAAATGAAAGTAATTTTGAAGAAGCAGAAAGTAGAGAAAATTTAGATTTTCACAGACAGACTGCATGTAAGAATAAACTTGTATATAGGCAAAAACTTAAGACTTGCATGACTAACATTTGTGTATTTATATGAGTGGGATTGTGCGAATCCAATTACCGTATTTCCTTGAGTTTTTAACTCTTCTGCTTATATGTGATGATATATGGTAGTTGAAATATGCTAAATTCTTCATTTTTCTTCTATTTCATTTGTTATTTTTTGTATATTTTCACTTGTATTTTATATCCCAAGTTCGGATTGTGCGTGCCCCTTCATCTTTTGTTTGAAATCTCATTTAAATTTCAAAGTCATTTAAATTTCCTGAATTTTCACCCTGTATCTTCCATCTATTTTTTGATGGCGCAAATTTTTGGCACTTTTCATCTTGTTATTTGGTGATCTGGTAACCTTTTTTGAGTTTTCAGACTCTATTTGTATGTATGTGCGTTTATTTGTCGCAAAAAGTGACAGCATCTGTATAATAAAAAAACATACAGAACATTCAGGAATTTTCTGACCTAAGACACAGTTGTGCATCATGCACCCTTCACAAACATAACAGCAGTTTATGAATTCTATGTTATAATAGTTCAATATATATATTTATTTAGACAATTTAGAATTAATATGAAAAATTGAGTTCTATGTAACAATTTGTATGAAATTTACTTTGTATATTTCATAACCCATTTTTCAGCATTGTTGCTTTTCAAATTTTGTTTTAAATTTTTATTATACATAATTGCTTGACAGTTGGCCAATTTTGAAAAGTCATCCCCACTTTATATTTCACATAAACTCGATACAATCAGAATTAATTGGATTTAAAGCAGTTAGTTTATTCAACCTAGTAAACATATTCTCGGTATATTTGTATAAGCTTTCTTTGAGATTGAAAAATTTCTAAAGTGTGAAAATGTATTTACATTTGTATTTATCTTTAGATCTTTACATCAAAGTACTTGAATGCAGTCTGAAATGTATACAAGATTTAGCAACAGATTATGGGGAGAAAAAATATCCAAATTTTGTTCCTGTGCAATATCATTATCTACAATTTTCTTATTATCAAGGTAGGAGATATTTCGATGAATCAAGAGTAAAAAGTGTAAATTAACTTACTCACATCTTGAAATGGGGGGTTCAGAATGCTCATTGAGCGATTATTTAAACTTCTTGAAGGAATAAATTAGATTATGTTACAATAAGACACCTTTCAATTTGAATTATAAAAAAAATACAGACAACTAAATGATCTGCTCATTACAAGTCTCTGACCCTGACGTTCTATATTATTACCCAACTTGACAATGTTTTTACTCGAGTTGCCATTTTTTGGAAAAGTGAAGTATGTATTTTGAACTGTGGTTAAGCAAATCTATTTTTAAACAGAATATGATATCCCATCTTATCAGCTACTATTAAATGGATTTTACACATCAACATATAATAAGGTATAATATGGTATTTTATTCCACAGCCAACAATTTCCATAAATCAATAGAATGTGCAAAAACTTATCTTGTGTTTCATCCAAATGATACTGTAATGTTGGAGAATCTAAGGTTACTTTCAAATGAAGTTGATGGCATCGATAAATTTGAACCAAGACAGGTTTGTAAATTGTAATGTTATTTTATCTATTTTTCACCCAACACCTTTTACTCTGAACTAGGCTCTATACAAGCATTAATACCTAATGATATGTAAGAAGTTATCATTATTTGAAAATACCGGAATCCCTTGTTTGACATTGCAATGATTGCATACCCAATTTATCACACTCTGAATGGGTTGGTTGGCATGGGACTCGAAATCAGAGATTTGTAAACTCCAATGGCAACACAGTGAAGTCTAACTCTTTAAACCAGGGGTCTTAAACATGTTGCCCGCGGGCCAATTGCGGCCTGCAGGACGATAGTTTGTGGCCCTCGCTCTAGTATAAAAGTTTACTGTTAGTGTGGCCCACAAGTCACTTAGCTCGGTTTGCATGATCAATGAATAAATATATATTTAATATAAGTTCTCGGATTTTTGGCGCCACAAGCACTAATGCTTAAATTTATATCGATACATTGTAACCATGTTTCCATGTGGTGAGACATTACTGTCCATCGGCAAAATGCTTTATTGAACAAAAATAAAGTAAGAAAAAGTTCCAATTTTTCGAACTGAGCTTTGTTGTGGAAACCTGATGCAGCCCAGACCCACCCAGACTCTGCCTTTAGTGACCCCTAAGTAAATCGAGTTTGAGACCCCTGCTTTAAACGCCGTAGCAAATCATGCCGTATTGTATTTAGTTTCATTGTTTGTATACTGTAAGTGGCAACTAATTGATTGAGGGGTGCAAAATAAATGTTAGATTTTATAAAAATTTGTTCGTGATAGGCAGTTGATAGCCCACACTTTGAAAGTCAAAAAAGTCAGAAATTTAATTTGTACATTAGATGATTCAACAACTTGTTACTGAAATCACGGTTCCATTACATTTGAACCCACGTACATTTGAACCCACGACAATTGCACCTGCATGCCATTGCACCTATGGAATTTTTTTTGGTTTTACGGATAATGAAATTTTTTTTGTTTTACGGATATTTGTACCCATACTAACCTAATCCATGGGTTTTAGCACCCGCATATTGATTGAACCCGCGGATATACACATAGGTTCAAATGTACATGGGTTCAAATGTACGGTCACCTGAAATCACATATGCATAATGCAATCCTGACAAAATGAGATTTAAATTACTCAATTTAATCACTAGTATGAAATTGTTGAATTTTTTGTTTCTTTTTCTTTACAATGTATCAATGTATATTATTTTGTTCAGGTACTATTACTTTATTTATGAAGAAACCTCATCTTTTGTGTTTTAAGGATTTTTGCTTAATTCCTTCCAGTTGCATTATAACAATATTCATATATTCAAGGGTGCGGTTTCATACCATCGTAAAATCAAAATTGAGGTAGCCATGTTGAAATACTCGTATCAATATTTTGGAATCAGAGATTATGATGAGAGTATATTTGTTCACTTCGGAAGTATTAAGAAGAATGAAGATCCCAGGGATGATAACATGGATTTTGATTTGGAGGAGGAAGATGGAAATGATGAAATTTTACAGGATTCAGTGGAAAAAATTAATAATTCTACAAATGCAGGTGATGTTTTGTGAAAGCTCAAAATTTGTGTATCGAGATATTGATATGTCAATTCTTACAGTAATTATTGTATAGGATAAGATAAGCAACTTAACCATATGACGAACCACGGCCTCTCGTCTGGTTACCAGTCCATGTCAGAAATGGGATTAGTTGTTATTTGTTTTCGGAAGCATGGACTTGATAGTGGAGGAAGCCGTAATCGACCAGCGGTTACATGAACCAACCTACGGCAGCGAAGGAGTCCAGCAATCCTCTTGCACATAACTATTCACGCATGGGATTCGAACTGCGAACCCGCACAGAGTAATCAAAGGTGCAGCGGCGAGCGTATTCCTAACGCTTAGAATAATGAGCCACACCGACACTACCGCGGCATCCTATTATAGTGAAGGTCTATTTAGAATACACGATATCTTACCCTATTCTATTTTTGCTGACAATGACCTTTTGGTGACCTCTCAACTTTATTATACCTTGTCTGTTCTGGCATCTGACAAACAATATTTTTTCAGCAAAAATTTACTAAGTTTCTGTAATCTCTAGACCTCGTATCTTTTAGGTGGAATGAGAGTGCTATTCCTCTCCTTTAGATGTAATAAAGTATCCATAACCATCAATGTCTTTGACTAACACCAAAAAATAGTCAACTTGCATTTTAATTTAATCGATGAGCTCAAATTGCAGTTGCCGATTTGAATGAACTCCTGAAATTGCTAAAATTTTGGTACTCCCATAGTGTGTGTATCAAATTATGGTTAGGCCGTAATTTCATTCCGATTTTCCTTTTTTTAGTTCTAGTACGAGTTCGGGACTGTCTGTGTTAGCCAAGTGAATATACCCTCTGCCCATAGGTTTTAGTCCCTCTACACAACTTAATGTAAAGTAGGCAAACAAAATTATTTACCTCCATATAGGTACACACACTACTCGAGCGTCAATATTTTTACCTCAGATGTATTTAATCTAAAAGAATATTTGTAACTGCATCGTCTGCATTTGAAATTTGAAACATATTTTTTTTCGGTAATAGAATTTTTAGTTTTATTTTTAACAGAAGATACCGCACAATCTGATGTGCCTGAATACGAATCGATGAAACAGAAAACCGACGATATTATAGAAAAGAAAGCAGTTGACATTGAACGAAGCATGGCTGAAAATGAAAAAAAGCAGAGAGATGAAATGCATTATATAGAACCAGTGAGTCGTAGTAAACTCAAGAGTTTCCACCTTTTTTATGCGACACTCATTTACGTTTTTGCTTTGAATAAGTACAAGCAGCCATTGATATTTTTATAGTGTGTGATGAACTACAAAGAGTTGAATCTTATATAAATGTCATTTTACAATGTTGGCATATCACACCTCCCTTCAATAATCATGTACTATACTAGTCTGTGCAATTAGTCACTGAAATATACATGTAATGTGCTTTTGAAAGAATCTTGATAATTTACTTCAATATGGATGAGCATTCGGTTTGACCTCATGTGCTTTGCTTTGTGAACCAAATTAGTTGGGTCATCTTACTCAAAGCAACCATTTGCCACTGTTACATTTTATTTATTTTATATTTTATAGAGCAATAATAGGAAAATTCTATTCTAATATAAGTGTATTCAATTATTTCACAGGATGATGATGTTGATGTGTCGGGTATTACTTTATCAAACTTGGGACGTCAAACTGTGGATTCAATTTATATAGTAACTGTCGAAAAAAGATCAACGGAAGCTCCATTACCTGAAGGACCAATAATATATGAAGGTATTGTATGGATGTTAAATACCGGCTAAAGAGGATACTAATTTGGAATTTTATTGGATTTAATGACACACATACTCTTTACACAGTAAGAATGAGATTTTCATACTCATATATTATCTCCCTGCCTTCCAATAGAGACAGATTTTACTTTATTCAAGGTCAGTTATCATGTACTACATCATCAGCGGACCCTACTAATTAGTAAATATCGGTCGATTTTAGCAGGGACATTTAAAAATTAGTATCTCGCAAACTAAGTCCACTTTATATAAGCAGTAAACACAAAATCTAGAAAAATTATATAGATTTCTGTTATGTAGGGTTGATGCTTATGCAGTAAATCTTTCTCACATTCAGGAACCACTCTTCTTGCAAATTCAACACAGCTCAAGGGAAGGGAAAGATTTGCTGTCGATAATATGGCATCTGGAGAGGAATGTATCTCACTTATTGATTTGGAGTTGGTCAGTTTTGAATTTTATTCAGCTAGACTAAAAATGCTAGGAATTAACACTGGTGATTTCTTAACAAAGCTCTGTATAAGCCAGAATGTGGAGTTGTGGAAAATCCACAATTTACTCCCACCGTGAGTTTGGCTCAAGACTGCCTGTTAGTGTTGAAATAAATTTTGGCTCAGACTCTAGCTCCCAACTTCAGGTTGACGGAAATTTCGACGCGGGCTTCAACTGTGTACTTCCGATGAAATCAAATTTAAATAATAAAATCTTTAACATTTGCAACAAAAAATTTTTGCCCTAAAATCATTTCAACTCCAACTACACAACCCTTGTACGAGCAACCACTGATACCTACTATTTTTGGAAGGACCAGGCTTTTCGTCACAATATTTTTTGCCAAATTCATCACATTCTTGGTGGATATGTGATTTGAACCCAAGGGCCTAAATTTGCTAGCATTGCATTTCCCACGTTTCATTCGTGATTTTACTGGTAAACTTCCATTCTTCATGCTTAGCGTATGCACGATTTTTTTTTTTATATTATCCAAAGTAGATTTGTAGATTTCTTCTACTAAAATTAAATAATTGTTGATTTTTCAGAGTTTCGGCGATGTAGGAGATGGATATAGTGGTAAATCGTCTCCTCATACGGAGCATGAAATATTTGAAGGTGTAACTCTGATTAAAGCTGCAAATGTGAGTCTTGTAGAATTCTTTAAATTGCATTTAGTTTGTTTAATAACTTTACTCAAAAAGTATGGACAATTACATAGTAGTAGTGTCTGAGAGGCTTGAGTCAACTCAGCTTGAGTTGTATTCGAGTTATTTAAATGAAATGACCTGGGCATTGTAATACCCCAACTGCCAGTAAGATTAACTTGTGATTGACTCAGAACCCACGCAGGATAATCAGAGGTTCTATGGCGTGCGTATATCGCTTAGCAGGAAGCAGCACACCACCAAGTCTGATGATGTTTATTATCATCACTGAAACTATGAAATTCGGGTTGTTCGAAGTTTTGACTCCGATACCCAACTCTGGGCTGTTTAAATATTTGACTTCAGGGAAAATACGCTAAACTTGAATACCACAGTCCTGGTTGTCCCAGTACAATTTCAATATTATTTCTCACCCTCATGTTATGTTATATAAACTTTCGATTTCACGGAATTGCTTACTTTAATCTTCCTTTTCTCACAGCTTGCTAAAGAAGGAATACTTCCATTATCCACTGCCATATTGTATCGTGATTTGAGTGAGAAAGTACGGGCACAAGTACAAGCTTATTTTAACCTTCCTCATCTATATTTTGATTATACTCATTTGGTTTGCAGAACTTCAAATCCAGGTTTGTATTAAATATTTAAAAAAAAATTTGGAAGTTATGTGACAATAATATAGAAATGTACCATGCATTGATTATTTCTTTGGTAATGAATTTTCATGATCTATGGCCCCCTTCCAAAGACCAACACTTGTGGCTCGCTGTACACTAAAAATACCCACTTTAGCTTATGAAGTGTTTCCATCAGTTGTTTTTAGAGATAAGATCTGAAGCCCGATCCCCGACCCTACCTGAAATTCGGGCCGGGCCTGAAATGTCAATCATTACGTTCGGGTCGGGCCGAGCGTCTCTATTGCTGACTTTTTTTTAAAATAAATATATTTTTATAAAAAATATATGCTAAAGCTATGTGTGGAATTTCAAGAACTCTAATAAAATATGAAATTTTGGGTTTGCTTCGGGCTCGGGCCTGCAAATCCAGTTAATTAGTCGGGCTCGAGTCGGGTTTATTACCCGCGGGCCCGCGTTGTTTTATGCGCCACATTTAACAATAAAATCTAACAAATCAAAAAAAAAATTTAATATATCGCAATCAACAAATTGAGTGTGGGTTCCTGTTTGAGAAACCTTGACCTAATGGTTAATGTAATAAATCAGGGGCGGCCCGTGAGCCACAAGCAGGCCCATCAAGCCAGTTTGGGTGGCCCTTGTTTTCGACATCGAGCATAAAATCCGAATCAGTTTAGGTTTAAATAGGCGCTCACATTGGTGAAAAATTCATAATGTTTTTTGCTCTAGTAACTTTTTTTAAATCTTTCATCGTTTAGCCTGGTGTCTATATAATTACTGCAAGGTTAAGCATTAGCAGCATTCTCTTCTTTTGCCTTTCCCACATGGATAAACTGAATCTTTTGTGTGACCCGTCTAAATGTCAGAAGTTGGTTATATAGCCCACGACAAAAACTGTTGCACACCGCTGTGTTAAAATAATAAGCTAAAAGAATTACAATGAAAAACTCACTGACAGTGATAGTATAATTTTTCCGCGATACGATAAAATCACCACAATGATATTAATGTGGTGAAATTACAATTGAGTCTTTAGGCACAAGCTATTATAATAAACCAAATATGATTGGTAAGTAAATTTTTTTACAGATTCTCCCGAGAATAGAAAAGATCTCAGCCATCCTATTCATGCTGATAATTGCCTGCTGAAACCCAATGGAGAATGTGTTAAAGAACTTCCTGCTTATATATGGCGAGATTATAGTGCAATATTGTATTTGAATGATGGTTTTGAAGGAGGAGAATTTATATTTGCCGATTCAACTGCACGGAGAGTGAGAGTAAGTGGGGTTTTTCAAATTCAGGTTGCATGTCCTAGAACAGGGTTACCCAAACTGGGGTCCACGGACCCCTGGGGGTCCGTGACGACTACACAGGGGACGCAGCGATATTGAGAGTCTGAAATATATAATTTAAAAGTATATCCACTGTTACATTGTCATTCATAAACGAGATAAAGTTAACGCAATCGCAAATGGTAATTGTTACGAGACCTTAACAATGGGAGTGAAAAAGTTGTTGTAAATGTAGACGATCGCTGCTTTCAACATCTGTGAGGTTACCGTCGTCGCCCGTCGGTAATAAGTGATTGTATGCGTTATTGAGTTATCACCAGTCAAGAACTTGTGCGACTTTGCCATGGTCATTTGAGCCCCGTTGATGCAAGAAAGAGGCGTGAACCCCAGTCAAGTTAATTGTGAGAGACTATCCAAGAATACAGAAATTAAATTAGTTCGTTGTCGTAGTGTTGGGCCTACGTGTTTGCTTGTCAGAAATTGATCCGTCACATTAATGCTGTTTGTGTTGTTGTTGTTTTAAATCAAAACGGAAATTTATCATCCCTCCCTAGTTACGCACATAAATTGGTATAGGATGGGGGTCCGTAAAAAATAATATTCACAAATAGGTGTCCGCGGCCCAAAAAGTTTGGGAAACTCTGTCCTAGAATCTCTAAGAGGCTGATTGATAATAAGGTAGATCTCCTTAGGGCTGTGAAGTTGGAAAAGATGTATACTGCACTCCGACTTCATACTTCTAGCCATATAAACAATGACTATGACTCCCTACACTGGGATAAATAATTCCGACAATGGTTTGAGGGAAATTGGTGAATTGGTACATCTCAGAGAAACTCAAGGGGAACCAAAACTCGATAAATTTGACTTAGTCAACTTCGTGCTCTGGGTTTCTTTCTAAAAGTTGCAAACTCTTGCTAATAAAAGCCTGGAATTTCAAATCCAGACTCAGAAGAATTTAAATTTTTGACTCCAACCTGACACTGAGGAATTTGAAATGACAACTCTGGCTCTGACTCCAATATCAATAAAAACATGCTAAGCTGTGACTTCATGGTTATGTCACTTGAATACTCAGAACAACATATATATTCACCACAGCGACATACGACTGTATATATTGGATTGTGTCAACTTGTCACTTTAATTTAAAGTCAATTCTTTTTAATGAAATCAGCAAGTATCAATTCCACAGTGGTGGTTTGGTTTACTGATTTGATAGATGAATTCTTTGTGAAAGTGGATGACCAAATTTGTGAAGCAACTGTTTGTGTATAGATTAGTATTGTGGAGTAAGAGTTGAATCGTTTTCATGGAAGCGAGGGTCATTTTTTTAAACTTTCAGTATCTTGGTGGAAATTTTTGAGAGAGTGAATTAGATTTTCAGACTCATGGTAATAATGAAAGTCAAAATTTCCTACTCCTCCAACTCCCAAAGTTCCTATTGTTTTAAACATGTTTTATTCGTATCCAGAAGGCATTGTTAATGCATTGCAAAACACTCATTTTATTTAACATAGTGAATAGGTGCATTGTGTAATCTCAATGTTATGTTGTTTAACAGGTTCAAGTTAAGCCAAAATGTGGCAGGATGGTGAGTTTCGGTGCTGGACGCGAATCATTTCATGGTGTCAAGCCTGTATTAAAAGGCCGCAGATGTGCTGTTGCTTTATGGTTTACTTTATCAGAAGAAAGAAACGAGCGGGTTGGTAATTTATATCATTTTTAATTTCGCTAATTGCCAAACTTGTAGTTACTGGACTTCCATAGCTTTCAATTGAGAAAAATCTCTGGTTTTTGTCAGTATACTTAGAATTTAAATGTCTGTTTGAAGTAAATTATTTGAATATAATAATCAAAGTCGAATTTTTTTTAGGTAACATAGCTCATGATTGTCCATTGATAACTTACTGTTGCTGAAATACGACAATTGTTTGTAAACTATTCAAATTGCATATTTCAGTGCGTATCCAAATTTTCTCTTTTGATCAGCTCTGTTACTTGTTGGTATTTCTATTACATTTTTATCCCCCATTAGACTTCAAATATTGGCAGATGTTGGATCAAATGTTAGTAACAGGTTTGCTATTGCACTTCTGATTACCTTGCGTGGATTAGTATGTTCAAACATCACAGGTGACAACTTTGTGTGAAAATATTGCTTTCTTAGCCCATTGGATAAATAAGATAAATCCTAAAAATATTCCTATCATCTGATTACCAATTAGTAATTTCTTAGTAAAATTTTGTCTTATTTTCCTTATATATTTGTTTTAGCAACGTATTAAAGCTGAAGAAATACTTGACGAACTTGTATCAAAACAAAAAGATGAACTATGATTTGATAGAATATGCACACTGTGTCATTACGATGCTCCTGATATATTCAAACTTTTATTAATTCCAAAGAATACAGTAAGACATCAACTTTTATATACTATTTGATGTTGTAACAGTGTATTGTAACTTTGATGAGGTATTTCTGATATTCATAAGCCAAGCTTTTATATAAACTAGAAACATATTGCTGTTATATTTACCGTATACCTGATACTAACATATTGATGACGGGCTAAGCCACATCCGACATTCTACCTTTATTCCACTTACCTTGCCAGAAGTGACATTCCTGGTAGGCCAAGCCAAGACTTCAAATATTTTGATAAAAAAAATTCTTCACAGTTCCAAATGCTTTTTTATACTCATATAAACTTCCCATCCTTCCATTGCAGTTACTTTAAATGCAGATCAGTTGATAAATATCTAAATATCTTGTATTCATAGTGCTGATGAAACGGTCCCTTTTGCTGCCAATTTTTGCACATTTGCACAACCTGCAGTTTTTCTCTATTTTTCTAATCATGTTTCCATACACAAGTGTTGACTATTATATATTTGTGCTAGTATTTCAAGTGCCAATTATTCCATTCTTTCATTTTGTATTTTTCTATGGTTTAGTATATGTTTGTGCGAAGCATATAAATTCAATATTGTTTGTTTATGCCACTGTCGAAACCTTGAATTCTTGATTTGGCAGCTGAAGCTAAATCTTAAAGTTTTCACTGAAACTGCAGTACAATTTTCTTATACGTATACTTCCCAACAACTACCATCAATCTTCACAGTATTATGATTACCGGTACCTTTCCTAAATGCTTTGTTCGTGATATGAATCTGACCTTTATTATGGCTCTTAATGAACACCAATTTAATGATCATCTTCAAACGATTGATAGTTTTTTATAGTCTTGTTGCTGCTAATTAGCGGTTTGCGAATTATTTTGTTTCATTTCTTATATGTGCTATAAGCAGGGTAGAAATACCAACAAGTAACAGAGCTGATCAAAAGAGAAAAGTCACATATGCACTGGAATATGCAATTCGAATATCCTTGTACAGTTTACAAACAATTGTTGTATTTCAGCAACAGTAAGTTATCAATGGTCAATCATGAGCTATTCCTAAAAAAAAGGATGCATATGAGTTGCTTCGCTTCAGGATTTCCGCTTTGCATTCCCCATTCATTTACACTTTGAGAAAATTCGTTTTCAAGCGATCACGACAGTTCAAACAAATATTTAATTTATATAAGCGCATTCACATCTATCTCGTTTGGTTCGTTTGGAGAAGATATTGTTGATAGTAGGCCAGAAACGTCAGGTTTTCAGTAAATCGTTCAAGAATAGAGCAAAATGGTGTTGAAAAAAAATTTAATTTATGTTTCGCTGCAAATGTCGCAAAATTGCATTTAAAAAATGTTGAAAATTTGGTACTTCTGTAGTAAATGTACTAGGTTAGGGTTAGGCCATACTTTTATTCTGATATTCCGATTTTCCTTATTTCAGTTCTATTATGAGTTCGGGGACTGTTTGTGTTAGCCATGTGAATATACCACCTGCCCATAAGCTTCCGTTCATTTACACAACTTGATTGAAGTAGGCGAACAAAATTAGTTACTTCCATATTGGTACACATACTTCTGGAGTGCTAAAAATTTTGAAGTGGGGAAGCTGCGAGTCTAAAATAAGGACAAATTTATTTTGTATGGCGTAGGTCCTGAAAGCAAGGACCTAATCTTGAAAAACGAGGATGTTTTGGAGCCTTGGCTATAAACATAAGGTGCTATCTATATTCCGCTGTATACGAGCAGTGTGTGCTGTCTTCCTAACAATTTCAGAGGGTATCTTAAATATATTTCTTTGTATTTTTTTTTACCATAACGCTTTTTTTCTACATTTTGCCTGATGCAATAACAACATTAAACTCTATTTAACCAAAGTGTCCAGTCTGTTATTCGTGACTCTTTGGGAAGGTAATCGATTTGAAAATTCATGTCTTTTAAATTATTCTGCAGTAGAATTATCTCCAGAGGTTTGCTTATGTTCAGGTTGTCATACCGGGGCCCTGTTTCCCATGGGATTGTCTGGTGTGTTATTGGGTATTATAGCGGCCACATCAAAGGCTTGTGCGCTGTAACAGAGCCTAAAACTCTCGCGTTCAGCAGATTGTATTCAGACTAGAATACATTTGTGATTATTGAAAATTTAAGGTAAATATTTAGAGCATGATTTCGTTTTCATAACCCAGTGCGTTCGATAGCTAGAATATCGTTATAATGTCCACTATTGTAAATGTATTCATGCACTTGGACCAGTGAGGGAGGGAAAATAGGTACCGGTAATAGTTCTGTACTCTTGCCTATTCGATAGCTGCTAGTATTTTGCATTTAGAGTCATTTCCGAATAGTTTGACAATACCTATTCCTGCCTTTCAATTGATTTTGGATAGATATAAAAAATGGACAGAAATCCTATTTTTGCCAAGAAGTTTATTATATAAAATTGGGTTATTTACAGTAGATTATGTCATCATAATTTAACGCTTTTTTGGAATGGTGGTGACCTTTATTTTAAAAATTTGTCATTAAATATCATTTTTAAAATTTCAGCTAGAGGCTTTCAGCCTAAACTCTTGGGAAGAAACGAGGTTTGTTTATGCGGGTTTCTAAGTACAATGGTTGATAAAAAAGCGTTTCCGACGCAATCTGTGAAACGATCTGATGTCGAATACAATATACCTGCGGTACATTATATATCGGCATATAAAACATTTCATAAATTTGAAGACTTGTACTTGTTATTCATGATAAAAAAATAAGTAAAATTTGACACTTGTTTTGAAAGTGTTGGCTTTATTACTCAACCTTTCTTTGATCGTTGTTTTAACAACATATCTTTTATCGCGCATTTGACTCATTTCACCTCTTTTGTTCACACTCACAGTGATTCGTATTGACGCGTATTCTTCGTTTTAATCTAATCTTGATAAGGTGAAGTGGGGCACGTACAGACAAAAATATTTTTATGGGAACTATTTCTAATAGAAATGGCGCATGTAACATTTAGAATATTATTCATTCGGCCCCCTATTTTTTTGAGATTAACTCTATAATGACGTATAATGTAGATATGGCCAATAATGCTTTATTATAGCCCACCTCAAAAGGACTTTTGCTTTGTGACGGTAGAAGGGGTACCACAGAATACCATTAAACGAATGCTCTTTGAGAATCAAATTTTCCGACTAAACTTCAATCATCTTGTCGCAACTGCGCGATATTATCTTCCGCTGTTATTTAGATCAACTATTCGATTAGTTTCAGATTAAGTATAAAAATATAGTTATTCCTTATTATGACGTATATACATACACAATTGTCTCTAAAGTTTTCCAAAACTATCGATAAGTTCAATAAAAGCGCCAGTCTTTCAAAACTGATATTTTGATAACTCTTAATCTACGTATGTGCTTGTAGGAGATGGTTGATCATTTGAAATAAAATAACACGACCCGATATAGGGCAAACTTATCCATTTGACGCAAATATCTCATCATGGTTGAGGTGGCGTAATATTCCTACATATTATTATTGTTTCACCATCTCATTTTTAAGGTAGGCCTACTTCTCTACATGGAGCCGGTTCTGGGCCACTGTAATTCTAAATGTAAATGTTTTCACGTGACCATCCAGGCCAACGATTTTCCTTGTATAAGCTGAACACTTAAGGTAAAGTTAATTTTATCGTGATTTTGTGCTCAGTTAAACGGTAATAAAATGTAAAATGGAATACATTTCCACGATAATAAAGACCGGCCATGTTTATACTCATCAAGAACCAATTAAATTCAAATAGCGCTTCATCATAAAACAGTGAAAAAGAAATACAAATCAGCGTATACTTAGTAGCGCCTTTATTGCACTAAAATACTTAAAAAAGTTATTTAACAAGCATGAGTCATAGCTAAACACAACCCAGTCAAAACCCATGTTTGGCTAAATACAAATCTGCCTTGATCATTATTCTATTTTATCTTACATATATATTGTATTACAAAGTTCTTCTACTTTTGTATCATGAGTATATTTACAAATACAGTGAAAAGAATACGTATAACTGCCAAAGAAAATAATACTGCATCATCTTCAAAAAGTTTGATGAATAGGAGCGATTTCAATTCGCGATCATTTCATCTTTACGCTATGGATGGTGTTGTAGGATTCATAGTTCGATTGAAAAACGTACAATTATATCCGTCGATATATCCAGCTTCTGAAAATGTAAATAGCATATTAAAAATGCTTTACAAGAAAAAAAATCTATTACACTATCATTTTGTTAAATGCAAATTTCGTCAAATACCCAAAAACTTTTAGCTAATTTCGAAAACACACATTTGATTTTGATGCACTAAAATGCATGTGTATTTTCAGCTCTTTCCCTCACATATTATCAAATTTATCGGAAATCATGAATCGCAAAATAATATATTGATGGTGTTGTAAAAGGAACTTGAATATTGACATAATTCAGGTATTTCTTTAGATGCTTACTAATTTGATGTCTTACCACTGATCGTTTCTTGACTTGTCGTATTGTCACAGAAGCATACGATTTGTTCATTGTTTGTGGAATAACCGCACGATGACGATCTGGATGGACAAGGATCTTGGAAACAATATTCATTCAGTGCTTCCAATTCAGCAATTCGTTCATCTCGAGCTAAATAGAATCCAAAAAAAAACTTATTTGTGTTTGAATATTTCTTTCACTAAATCAATAAAATCATGACAACTAAGCATTAAAATAATCTGACAAAAACCCAAATCTTCAAACATAGTAAAATAAAAGATATCCAACTCGCATGCAAAATTTTGATTTATAGAGGTATATTAAAAACAACGACCTAAAGTGACCAATACTTTTTGAAAGTGAGAGAAGTGACAAAATAAAAAAGTTTTTGACCGTTATATTTGTAAATTTATTGAAAAAATGATGTAGATGTCAGGCATGATATGGACCACTTAAACACTACATACCCCCGTAAGGAGGGGTTCCACAACGATAAAATTTGTGAGTAGTTGATTATATTTCACGAAGAAGACTCGTCTAAATAAAAAAGTGAATAGAAAGAATGTATGAATGCACCACGACTATTTTTTGTGCAGTAAAGATACATTGCTGGGTTAAGTTCACCAAACAAATGCTTACCTTTTATTTCTCCGTATAACGTTAATCCAACCACCAACCCCGTTAAGAGAGCTCCAAGTAGCAAACCAATAAAAAACGATATGATGTTGCATCTTGTCAAATGGGCACCGCAGCACCATAGCCTACAATATCCAACATTATTTGCTGTGGAAGCACTTGTGGCTATTTTACTCGTATTCTTTTGTGATGTTTTTATTGTGCTTTCACCATTGCCGGTTCCATTTTCCCATCCATCTTTATTTGCGGTTTCCTTATCATTTATTGGTTCAACAACAGCGGTCTGAAAATTTCAACAAAGGGTGTTTTATCAAGAATTTGACATAAAGTAGGCACTATTACTTAAACAGTCACAAAATTAAAAATTTCAGGAACAAGTTTTCTTTTGTATCATCGAACTCATTCACTAACAACAGGTTACCAACATTTTAAAAAATCATACCGAACTTATAACTTGAAAAATAAAGAATAAAAACAAGAAAGGACCTATGTAAACCCTCTGAATACCACCCCTGCTTACAGCCTGCGAAGTCAATACTGTTCAAACTAAACTCACTTCGAAATGAAATAAATAATCAGCATGCAGTATTTATATAATTGACGTTGTTTTTATGGCATCCGCATAATGAATATTCACAAGTAAATTAAGTAATATATATACTGTATAATGCTTATAATGAAATATATATTTAACATTTAGTATTTCTGAAAGTGAAGTTGTTTGTATGGCATCCAAATTATGAAAATTATACGACAAAAAATTTATTTCAAATATTGCTTATTCGGATTGGACTATTCAATCAGATAATTGAAAATACTTGTACAGATACCAGAGAAAATGTGCAACATAGATTGCGTTCTAAACAGGTCAGTGGGATCGTAATTTGGCATATAAATTGTATACCGAGATGGAGCCGTATTTCTAAACTAAATTTTAAATTCTTCATAGTTGGAATTGCAGACTTCTAATGACAATAAAACAAATCATCAAAAAATACCTACAAAAACTCAAAAAGCGTTAAGTTTGCTGAGTGTTCCTAAAAATTCTACTGTATAGAAAGTTTGTATACACCAAAGTTTTTTGTTATCAGAATTTGATTTTCTCTAAATTCGGATTTGCAGTCGGAGTCTGAGTTTTTACAAACTGGATTCTGGAATCGGAATTGTTTGTAAATTTTCTAGGTCCCCACAGCTCTCGTTGTAACCAATATTAAAAACCCACCTTCCTTGAATACATTCCATCTAAATGCCTCTCTCTGCTCAGTCCTCCTTCAACACTTGTTCTCAATCCAATACTTCCAGAACTGTGGTATTTACCTTGTTGTTGCATCAATCGTAATTCTATCAGCGATCTTGGTGGCGGCTTATACAACTCCCTGGTAAGCCGTTGGTTAGTGGAACTGATAGGCATAGTGTATAGCTTATTTATTAAATATATATATCCAATAATTTATAACGATTATTCATAACCTATTTGTGTGTTTGTGGTTGTGTGAAAAAAGGAAAAGTATAATTTTACCTTGTGCCGGCATTCTGAAATTCAGTTATACTACCCACGATTTAAAATTATCAATATATATTTTAATATATTTGCAAAACAAATACCTAACAAATTTTTTTCAAACTGATTTCCAATATATACTAACACCATAACCTAGAATGTAGATTATATTAATCCCAATTTTCTGTTGCTTGCTTGTGTATATTGAAATGATTGCTGAACTTATCTACAGTCCGTTAAAAATCCAAACAGATTTGTGCAAACTACGGCCCGCGGGCCAAATGCGGCCCGCAAGGAAATATTATGCGGCCCGCGAGGAAGTGCCAATTTTGAACGATGTGCCCGCGAAACGAATTTTAGTTTAGTCAATCTGGTACGTGAGAGCAATTCCAATCTCTTTGCGTCGCAAAGTCTATACCAGTACCTGAGTGCCACTGTCATACCGTGTTAGTAAAACTGGCTAGCTAATCCTGTTGCAAAAACGAATTTTTCACTGAATTCGTCTAAAGCGAGTGTGACAATAAATTCGAATATATAGCAGTTTTCTTTAGAAAATTATGCGTTTTACCTCATCCTTTCTGCAAGGACCCCTATCAATGCCGTAAAATCAATAACAAAACGAAACAATTTTTGTGCCTGCGACAACCAGAAAGTCTGTCTCAAATAAAGGTGCGACCCGCGGCTTCGCCCAATTACTCGTATTTAGCTCTCCTATAATAAAGTTTGCACACACCTGTACTAAATAAAAACGATTTTTCCGAATTTTGATTTTTCTACCGATTACAGTTATATAAATGAAAATAGTTTCAATTTTAGCATAAAATTTAGGGAAATTCACGCTGACATTGATTTGTACTTAAGTTCATCTACATTTTCTTTGAAGTCACCGTCGAGTGTCTCAAAGACACTCAAACGAACAACAATTCATCGTTGACAACCACGCGTCAAGTACATTATATATGCCAAATCTCGTCACAAAACAATTTATTTATTTATGTTAGAGGAGTATGTTGGCTAAGCTCGGCTGGGTTCAGGCGATAATCTAATCGCGTGAAAGGGGGTAAAGAACCATAAAAAATGTTCACTCTGTGAGCATTTATCAATATCCCAATCCAAAATATATCAAGGGTATTTTCAATATAACATTCCTTGGACACTATCAGTTTTGCTACTTCAACCATTTGCCAAGTTTATGGATATATCCTAATTCAGAAGCAATTGAACTTATTTTACACCAGTTGGTGGGAAGCTAACTGTCCTCATGTGGACGATCATCAACAAGGACCTATACTTTACAAATCTATTTTGACATTTATTGCCAGATACCCAAAATCCACGTTTTTCATTGTAATCTTTCCTCATTATGCTGACAAATTGACTAAATTATGTCGCTTTTTAATAGTACTCACTGAAAGCACAGGAAATATTGAAAAACTCACATTCAATTATTTGAATTCCATTGCCTATTTGTAGTAGCCTGCTACCTAATAAGAAAATCAAATTGATGGAATCACATACATAAAAATAGTTTCACGAAGTAACTGAAGCAGACCTGACTTCCCATCAATATTTAGTTTCTACATTCATATTTTTTACATGAAAATAATCTTAAAAGCTAAAGGTTTGAAAAATATTTACTCATTGCACAGCCCAACAATTTACTGAACTAGACGAGGTAAACCCAACAGGCATACACAGACCGTGTCATCGTGGTTTGAATGGGTAAGATATTTTCTTCTATAATTCTACCCTGTTTTTATATCAACTGATGACGATTACAAAAATCTGAAGTCGACCAAGTTATTCTAACAATATAATGTACCAACAGTCTTCTATCCTTTTTTGAAATGACAGAAACGATTCTTATCACAACTTAATAGATGTCATTTTAAATATTAGTTGCGCGTAGCTCTCACGACCCTATTTATCAAACAGAGCGCTATTGATAATCTGTTTCTGGTTGTCGCTATTCACTACACATACTTTGTGATATTTCGTATGATTTTATCGCAATTCCTCACTGTATGTCCTTTGTTCAACAAAATGCCACAAAACAACAACCACCGCTCATAATATGACCAACTGATTGATATCAATGATCCTTAAATAGCATATACATATTTGACATGAAAGTGTCAACAAATTTTGATAGTGGCATAGTTAGACAAACTACGAATTTATTAGCTGAGTTTGGATGTGGTTGCGTGAGTGGTAAGGTCTATGTACTGTGTTTAATATATATATATATATATATTGAGATTTGACCAGTATTACAGTAAGATAATCAACTTTTGATATTTATGTTTACCGTTGACTGGAACGAATTTGACGTTAAAACTGTAGTCGATTTTAAGTCAGAAACATAATCAACAACATCTCGTCTTTTCTAATTAACTGCCGACCTATTTCTATCGTGTTTTATCGCTTGTGTTCTTTGAGATTCTCTTTCCGTAGTCCCGGATCCCGGTCAAATCTTTTGCGGTCCGTTCCCAACTTGCTGTTTTTCTCATAGCCTTCCCTTCCTTCTGTTACGGATATCTCCGATTAACAACGAGATCTTGCTCGTCCATCGTCCACGGGTCGGATGCTTTCTTTAAGTGTCTGTTATTTTCCATTTTCCCCCCTCCTCACATTCTGTGTCATTACTTATCGATTTTAATCGGTAAGTATGTTGATAGGTATTTGTCTGTCTGTCTGTATGTCTGTAAGATGCACGCGATATCTCACGGAAGCGAGATTGAATCTGCTCCAGATTTTGCATGTGCATTCATCATATCTCGGACCAGAATTATGTCGTATAATTAGCGTATTATTGATTAATTAGTGATAAGACACAAGATGTCACTATGGAATAAGAGCGCTGTTTTGGGGGATCCCCTAACTTTTGATCGATAAGTCTCCGATATTCTCGTTTAGTTACTTGATGCGATTTTTTACCATATTCTTCCTATTCTTTGTCAGTTATTTGATTCCACTTACAGGTACATACTTCTCACTTTTTCTTTTCCTTTGTTATTGCTTCTTCTTCTATTTCTCATCTTATTCGACTTTTATTATATAACGAGATCTGATTGAATCCTTTCCTCGGAACTTTTGACCTCACTTTCTGCTATGACTGTTTTCTGTCTCATTCTGTTTTTTATGAAATTATTCGTACATTCTCTTTCCTATAATCCTTCCATATTCGAACTCTATTTACATCCCCTTCTGACCTCTTTCTGCATCATTTTGTTGTTCGTTGATGCGATTTTCACCGCTTACATGATGAGATTACAACGAGAATATCGGCCGGAGACCGAAGACTTATCGATCGAAACTGCGGTTTCGATTCATGACTCTGTAGTGACACCGCGTGTCCCATCACTAATGAATTAATAACTCGCTAATTATACGACATAATTCATCCAAAATCAATAGGCTTCTGGTCCGATATGATGAATGCACATTCAAGATTCAAGTGAGATATCGCGTTCATCTAACAAACAAACAAACAAACAGACCGACAGACAGACAGACAAAAAAATACCTATCAACATACTTACCGATCGATAAGTAATAACTGACTCCTTTGTTTTGAACCTCATTTTTGTCGTCTGTTCTCCTTTTGTAATATTGAAAAAAAATCAGTTTCTTAATAGATCGTAGATGTCGCTAGAAAGCTACTTCTTTAAAACATTCAGTGCCACGGACTATCTATCACATCAATAATACCAACACGAAAAATAAGGAAAGGAAGAAAAAGGAAACAAATACCACGACCAACGACAACGTAATAACAAAACGATCTATGTGTCCATTTTGTGTTCAATAACGGTCAACGGATACGTCAAATTATTCAAATAAGCATTAAGAAATCCCACAAAGCTTTATTAAAGCATTTTTATATTTAAGGATTGAATTAGTGATGATTCCAGCAGGTATGTCACTTCATAACTCCCATCCAAATTCAAAGTCCGAAAAAGTAAATTCTGCAACCTTCCGTCACAATACTACTTGTGTGCTTGTTTTACATTTACACTTTCATATGATATTATCAAATTTTTCAAGGGTTGTATCCCATTTTTCTTATGCCTGACTAAAGCCACAGATGCCATTGTACTAGCGCTGATATGAGGCACTATAATGCGTGTGACTGTATTATTGTAATTCTTTATAAATTACGAGAAGCGTGGGAATTTACTTTTGGATTCGTCATAAATTAGGTTGTTAGAAAGAGTTTGAATTACGCCACTACTTATCGAATGGACCAAGATAAACACCCGTGCCAGCATGAAAAATCGTGCCCATTCGGGAAGACAGCGACTTGCAGCATTGTGTATATTGGTAACACCGTTGCTAATACGACTGCCTTAGATTATGTAATTCGTTTTTCGAAGTGAAATGTTGAATAATTCAAATGATTTATTGGATTATTGAAAAAAAATATTATACAACATATATATTATTTGAACATATAGAAAACTATTGGTTAAAATGTGCCGTTTAATTACATTAGAGGGGCTGAAGTGACACTCTGTGCATTAATCAATAATACAATTTAGTCAAATACAATCGCCAGTAAAAATCGAAAATGAAGACATAGTCAAATGCTAAGTAGTAGGTCGGCTAACAAGCAAGATAGGCACCAGACGCCATCTTCAGGTATATTTTCAGAGACAAAAATTCAATTTAATTCTGATTTTTGAAGTTAGTTTTCTTAAATCGACGGCGCAAGACCTAGAGCATTATTAATGAAATACATACAAAGTAATATTAATTGGTATGTGCATTCGTCATGTGCCTAATCAATAGCTTAATAAAAAGGAATTCCGCAAAACTTGTTTTTTAAAAAAGTTGGAAGTTCTTGTTGGCAACCAGCTTCAATGAATGAACTAGAGTCCTGTGTTTCCCAACCTGTTACGGCTTGTGACCCCCCTTCCGGAGTTTCAGCACTCATGGCCCATTGTTTATCATTCTAGTAGAATTTGCATATTTATAGTGTTATTTGTATTGGTAGATTCCAAATCCCAATATGTCAAATACTTCACGCTCAACAAAGTGAAAACACCATGTGTAACTTTATCAAGCAACGAAACTAGGAAGAATTGGGAGAGAAAAGTGAAATAAGTTTTGCTCTGTGTCGCCTTCAGCTTCTCTGTGGCCTTCTTGGGGCCACGAGCCGCCGGTTGGGAACCGCTGGACTAGACTTTATAGCGGGTGATATTATATTAGAATAATTAGATCGATCAAAAACCGCGTCAGGGAAAACGGACTGTGATAGGTAGCTCTTTACACTGGACTCTAGATCAAATATACGATATATATACTTTTTAAAAAGTTATACTGCATTTGCAGGAATGTCAATGCAGGAATCATAGTGTTCAGAATTATACTGAAAAACCGATTCTGTCCAACATTATCTGCATGCACGTAGTTGCGTCCTCTTCACTGTCGTGTTCACCATCTTGCACTGTTTTGCCAATCTTTTTCCTTGCGAGTGTTCTCAGAGCGTACTTGTAAGGGAATCCCATGGGGTGAGTGAATATTAAAGAAGTATCCACCACCTTTTCGTGGATTAGCCGCAGGGCTACAAAATCACTTTCTAGGCTGTGACCAACCAATATAGTATCCTTGGAAAAGGTCTCAAGCATAAAATTTTGTACGTCTTCAAGAGTGGTCGTTTCACCACGCAAACATTTTTTCGTCACACCACTGAATTGAGTATTGTAGTCGAGGATTCTTCCATACGGCTTTACGTAGGTATCATAAACCGTGTCGCAATTTTCGTCCACAATACTGACGCAAGTTAATTCCATACCGTTGACGGTGTATGACATCTCACAATCAATTGCGTATATACCAGGGTTAACCCCATACGGTATTGGCTTTTCGTATGTCTCGACGTAGCCGTATCTGTCCAAAACGTTGTCTCTGTGCACGTGTGTTTTTGCTGTCGTACAACCTTCTTCGTCCTCATCTTCACCGCAACAAGTGTAACCGTCATCATGCAGTCGTCCACTGTGATACCAGCACTCTCCACCGGTTATACGGCCCGATTTTTCAAGAATAAATGAGTCTCCGCATCTATAGCATGTCTTATGTTTTGTGTTGTTGAATGCCTCCTTTGGTGGCGAGCAAGAAAATTTGGCCTTGTCTTGTTGCTGTCCTGGTCGAGGAAATCCATGGCGGTCGAGTTGTCCAGGACTTGCAACATATTTCATCATTGCATCATACACTCTGACTCCAGTAGCTTTTTGCCCTTTTTGCCGTCTTTTACGTGTTCCTCCTTCAGCCATACTGTACTATATTGTGCTATTGTAACCAGTAACCAGCGGGATTAAAGTTATTGAACTCTGTGGGTAAAAAAAAGGATTAAAGTATTTTTTCGTATTTATGGAAATCAACGAGCTAAATTTTTTTTTAGCATAACGTAACACAGAACAACAATATCCGAGTATAAAGAGAGTTTTAGGTGATCCAACTGCAACACCACAGGCCAAGAATATATGTTAAGATAGACTATACTGAAACAAATTGCCCCAAACAAAGTTCTTACTTCTTGATCTTGCCATTTTCTAGTCTCTTCACATAATTCCTACCTCTCATCACAAAGAAAAATTCACAATGTAAAGACTATAATCGTGATGAGGAACTATATCACGTATTCATTAGTTAGTCATGGGTCTGACCTTTAACAAAGAACTACTTCCTCATGACGCCATTCTGTTCATTCTTATATGGCGCACCTGATAAAATATTATATCACTAAGTCATGAGACTTGTAAATATAAATCAGTGTGACTACAAAGTGAGATAATTTTCTCATAAATTAATATTGCTTTATAGTCACGCTCTGCTTTGTTTAATTGGGGAATATTCTTGCAAAGGATTACGGTACAAAGCAAATATAATTCACATTTATTTACAATAACACGTTATATATTACGTATTATCATTCCCCACCATGACTACCAAAATCTCTACAAATACCTATATCAAGAACACCTTTATCTTCGGCCAAATATGATAACTTATGAAATCTCATATTTCACCTGTAATTCGTGTATGGGCTTAGCTTAATATTATGATAACGTTAATGGACTATGTGTTGTTACGTCACACAAGCAAATATCAATACACAAAACTCATAAGGCGAACTTAATATAATAAGTCAAAGGAATATGAAATTAAAACTGTTGAAATTCTATAAACTTTAACATTTTTCGATTCAATCAACGTTACTGAAGGATTGTAAAATGGGAATTTCCTCTTTCCTAATAAAACAATATACCTTTATAGTTGATCAATATTTGCAGTTGAACTTCCCATTTTATACCTCGTCTGCATGTCACTTAATTCTAGAATCTAGAATATTTGAAATTAGTTCTGATGTAAAGTAACAAATTTTTCATGAGAATCTAACTTTACCGTGTCACAGAATCAACGAAAAAACAAACTATTATGGTTGCTTGGTAATTTACTTCGACATTTGAACGTAACATTTAAACGTGGGGCATTTTTTCTGTTTTTTTTTTAAATGCGGACAGATAGAACGATATTTTCCAAAGTTGAGACCGAACATATACAAAACCTATAAGAACTTGATTCATTTTGTTTGATTCCAATTGTCGGCGCTGCAAAAGTATGAGTACCAATATGGGGGTAAATAATTTGTTTGCCTACTTTACACCAAGTCGTGTAAAGGGACGGAAGCCGATGGGCATGGGGTATATTCACTTGGCTAAGACAAACAGTCCCCGAACTTGTAATAGAACTAAAATAAGAAAAATCGGAATAAAATTATGGCGTAACCTCAACCTGGTACACATACTACGGGAGAACCCAATTGTCGCCTAAATCAACTGCAAGGACATTATTGCGACCATTTAATGTTCAATTAGTTAATTATTAATTGAGCTCCGATTAATTCCCCCCAAAAAATATTTCAAGTAGGTCGCGAGAAGTCGTTGTCTGGTGGACTCGATAAGTTTCGCTCGATCGGTTTTTACCATCCGTGTCAAAATGTAGCAAAGAATAACTATATTGCATCCGTTGCCGGGAAAACTTCAATAAAATTCAATGCGGCCCTGTCAGCACTCTCGTAAATATGCATTTCTTAGAGGCATAGTTCTCTTTTACTACGTATTGTTACGTAATTGGCGAAGTATAGTTGGCACATTTATGGTGTTTATATCTCACGTTGGACGGTTAATAACACTCCTTATACAAATTTAAAAAACAGTCATCTAGAACATAGGTTCTCAAAGTGCTCCGTACGGAGCCCCAGGGCTCCGCGAGAGAAACCCAGGGGCTCCGCGAGCTATTCTATTACTTTTCAAAATACTGACTTGGCTAATTCAAAACTTTTCCTAGAAGCAATAACAGCTTTGATAAAATTTGACAACAATATAGCCTCGAAATATGGCAAAGTGGCGGAATTAAAATGACATTATTTATAAGCAGGAGCGCAGCCAGGATTCTTAAGAGGGAGGAGGTTCACAATTGGAATCGGAAATTTCCGCGCAACATTCATTGCGATTAAAAAAAAACGGATAACGAGATTTCTGTTGCGTAAAATATTCAATTCATGACCGATGCGACCATTTAAAGTGTCTTGTCGCAATAATTTAATTGTGCTCATCGTTACTCACGTTCGAGACTACTATTAGGATTACTGAAATGAAAAAATACTATTGTAAAATAACATAAACTGCGTGATAAACTGCCAACTATAAATAAATTGGAGTCGTATTTTTGCGATCTTGGGATTTGTTAAATTTGATTTGTTCTTTCGCACTCGAGATTATTTTTAAGCAAGATATCGCCGTTTGAAAAATCACAAGGTCTTGGCAAAATTTATTTTGGTGCATGCGGCTCCGTCGGTAGTTTCAGAATGGAAAAATGGTACATCGTGCGCATAATTAATTGACTGTGTTTCAATTTCGCAGTTACTACGATGAATAACCGAAGAAAACCTAACGTAACACCAAATTTTGTGATTTACAATGTCTATAAAAGCGTTTTTATTCTGATGTGAGTCTGCTGAAACAAAACTTATAGTGTTATTTTAGGTTCCATTTAGGTTTTAGTTCTAATATTTTAGAACGCCGCTTTTCAATCAAGAAATTTGAATTGCGGATTTATTAACTATTATTTTGTAGTATTTCGTCGCCGATGATTATATTATGGTAACATGTTTTTCACATTGAACTCATAATTCCCCACGAGAACGAAAAAGCATTTATCGTCGTCATTGTGGAACAGTACATGTATATGCCGAAGGAAATTTTTGATTTAGGGAGAATAAACACCGGCGTAAAGATGTTTGAGGTTTAAAAACACGCCATGCTGACGAAAACAATCGGCGATTGTAACAAGATGCAATCGCGCACGTTATTAGAGGCCTTTTAAGTCTTCCAAAAATGCCAAGAGGAGAAAAGATTCGACCCCTAATTTACAGCCTTAATATATACAATTTATCTTTGAATTTTAGATTTATTTATTACTTGTAATAACCCCATTGAAAGGGTTTAGTATTTAAATTGAGTAAAGTACGTTTAACTTACTCAGGAATATTAATCGGAAAGTAACAATCTTAACGTTTATTTTGGGGCTCCGTGAATGATAGTCAACCTTTCCAAAGGCTCCTCAGCACCAAAAGTTTGAGAACCCCTGATCTAGAACTTTCGATTCACATTCAATCAATTTGATCTGCTAGGCGGAAATTTTCATTTGTTAGAGCTTATACCTCACATTTGAGGTTCTGGTCCAGGTATAGCACAACTCCGGAAGCGAATTCGAAATCTCGAATTGCATATTTTAAAATTAGATCGTGTACATATAAAACCGTGTTCATGTTTAGGCACGTGAAATACTCATTATCCTATGAACGTTTCGAAAACTTCTTCCTAAATTTGTCAATGTTATCGCACAAACTCCTACTTTTGGGAATAATCTAAACCGCGGATTCTTTATGTTTCAAACAATAATTAATCTCGAATAATAAAAGCGAAATATTATTTCGGATTTTTCAATCGATCGTAAAACAAATGCAACTGCATTTCAGGTTGTACAATCGCGCTATTGAGTCAAGTACGGCAGTTGTGAATTCGTGATAATATACAAGGGAAAACCTGATTTTCTCAATTTGCGAATACACAAATTCGTTGAAAGTGACCAATATATTTAAATAGAAATACTTAGCGCAAAGAGCAAACTTATTTTCGTTCGCAAATTACTACTGTATTGATTTATATCTGGCCCGTACAAATCCGAGCATGTTTTCAATCTCTTTCCGAGAAGAAAATTACTTCGCAAATCTTTAGTTTTGCCTGAGGGCGCCCGTAAAACGTGTTCTAGACGCACGAGAAGGCTTCTCACAGAATTAATCTACCGGTCATTGGTTGAACAGAAGACGAAGTAGCAGAAAAGTAGCCTGACAGGTATATCGTGTACACGGATCACAAGTATAATACCAAGCTATACAGAAGTTAAGTGTTTGAGGCGTAGGTTCAAGCTTTATTATCACGATTATGAAAGAAAAAAGATGTGATTCAGAAATATTATTTTATACAAAGAAAGAGCAGACGGCTTGATTTGTCGTTATATAAACTTATACTATATTGATGAATTACTTCAGCTATTTTATGAAAAAACCGAGGGGAAGCAAATATTTATTTCTAATGCAGGCATAAAACAAATTGTTAATACGCATTACTGAGTTAAAATTTAAACAAATTCTATCTATAATATGTTATTTACAGATGAATATTAGTATAGACAGTTGAACAACTTCGGTGTTGACAGACACATAACTACAAAATGAGAAGCTTGATTGTTATCTACTTGTTCGTCGGTAATCATTATTAATATCATACTTTCCCTTCAATAATATTGTGAAATGACTCAAGATAATGTATCTATAAAAATTTTTTTTTTTCAAAAATGGGCTCTTATTTTACATCACTACTATAGCGCTGGGCAATTGTGACTATCTAATGATTTCAGAATCGAATCGATAATTTTTTTTCGAATCGAATAGTTGGAAATGTGTAGTAGTATTGACTGTTTTATTGTAATGGTCCACCAGACGCCTAAATTAGAGAAAACACGTAATCTATCAAGAAACATGTTTTTCATCAATAACTCACTTGGAAGAAAAGAGTCATATGTCCGAATTGCATTTTAAAAAATTGATATGAATAAAAAAAAATGAAGAATTCACCTCGGCCTGTTGGTGGACAAAAAAACAAGATGGCGACGATTCGAAATTCCCGTCTGAACCGATTCGAATAATTTACTATTCGATTCGATATGCCCTAATTACTACGACACGATTGTTCTCTTGCTCTATGAAATCATGATATATAAATTTGTATGTTTCAAAGTTTGCTCGTCAGAACTAAAGCAATACATACATATAAATATACATATATATAATCTCTTTATTTGAATATATAAACCTCTTTTGAAGGAATATCATGGCAATGCCAAGATCTCGGAGGGGAAGATTATTGTCGCTTTACTTTACTCAGAAAATCGAACATGTGCGAGAAATTAGTTCCTGCAGAACTTGCCCAATGTCTCAAGACATGTGGTGTTTGCAAAGAGAAAGCAGGTATGTACATTTATCACGATGAACGTATATGATTTATTATGTATAAAAGCTTGATCACGATACTCAATGCATATAAATTCAAATATAGCGTTGGATAAAGAAAGTAACGTACCGGCGTGGGCAGTAGCTCCTCCAACACCAAGACAACCAATGAATCCAAAAAGAAGAAGACCAGAAAAGTAAGATGTATATTCAAATATATTATTCTGCGAAACATTAAGTTCTAGTATCGAAACGTTTGGTACTATTATAGCGTGAGGTCTACCGCCATATGTCGCCTACCCAAGTAAAGTCCGAAGACTGTCGCAATCCTATTTATGGAAAATCACGCTGGCTTGAGGTAGATCTCACGCTGTAGTAGCACCCAACATTTTGAACCAAGAGTACCTGTTTAGTATATTGTTATTCTATAATTTTTTGAAATTAGCCAATAAGTAAATTGAACATATATACATCAAAAATCATTGTCTATTAAATATGATTTATAGTATTTGATAACAACGATTTTGAATCTTTCTAACCTGTGAAAATTTGCACTTTTCAGAAAAGATGAAGAGCCTATTGCGCTTCCCTTGTATGCAGTAATTATCATCGTTATTGCGGTGTTGGTCATTTTCATCGGAATAACAGTTTGCGTTATCAAGTTGAAACATAAGTGGAAAAAACGGAAAATGAAGAAAAATAAGAATGTACTAAGGCACGCACCTGTGGCACCAAATACAATGCCTCCTCACGCTTATGGTTGGGGAACTGGGAGTTACAACGCTGGATATCACCCTGATATGGACGGATGGTCGAGGTAGTCTAGTTTTGTACAAATTTGCTAAACTTGATTCAACATAAATTTTGAAAACAATTATAATTAAGAACTAGGCATATTACGTTCGATCAAATACGGCAGCATAATTGATAAATTTATTCTCACGATTAAATACTGAAATATATTTCAGAAATAACCTTTCTCACCAAATAACAATTTTCCTATACACAAATAAATTTATTTCGCAGCCCGTATTATTCAATTTTTCTTATTTATTCAATGATGCAAGAATATCTATATATATTTAAATAAAATATTTTAAGCATCTCATAATAAACATAAAAACAATGCTTAAAAACATCGAGACGGAGGTCGAAATAATTAGCCCGAAAATGCCTCTAACTGCTGTATAATATTATCCAATTTTAAGGATAAGTTGACCATTTATTGTCCAGTGGACTTTTTGTGTTATATACTTATTTAGTATTTAGCATGTTCGTGGTAGCTGTGGAAATAAGCCCGTACTAACGTCTTTTGTGTGGGTATATTTTGAGTATTGCTCTCTTGTTAGGGGTATTAGGCCCCACATGACTCGAGCCATAGCCTATAGGACTCAAAGGAAATGTGGAAAAATGAATAAATCCAATAACATACCGGCGACTTCCTTTATCTTCAAGTACTGAAAATCTGAAAGCTAATATTGTACATTTCTAAACAGAAATATGTATTTATCTGGAGAAACCGACCACTACCATCAGTCCCAACAACACATGGCGTTAAACAACACGGTACAGCAAAATTCCAATCTCAAGGTAAAGTGTTTTTGAAAGACAGGTTCATATTTTCGATCAGAGCTGTGGCATCGCAGATATTTGCCTTGCAACCTCGACTTCAAGACATCAAAAAATACAACTCCAACTTCATGGTGACAAAAAGTTCATTCCTCCCAAATTCAATTTAAAACAATTTTAACTCTGTCTCGCGAACCCGTAAGGTTAGAAAATACTCCGACATCACAGCACTGTTACCATTTACAATTATATAGGCCTATGGTTCAAGTGAGATTCGCAATCAAAAAGCATTTTAATAGCTAACAATTAACACCGAGTAAACTTCCAACTAAATTGCTGAAAGCTACACATTGAACAAAAGAAAATTGAGGTGAAAACCTTTCAATGCAGGCAGGCATTAGCCGTACGACCCTTCTGAACAGTGGTTATTGCTCCAATTATCTGAGCACGAGTTTTCGTATTGCGTTGCAAAAATTTCCTCTGGGTATACATGTCTTTTTCTACCACAATTTACTCAAGTCTGCAAATTCTTCTGCGTTTTGTCACAGATCTACCATACGAATCCCCATATTTAAACGTGTTTTTTTCTTATATCGAATTATAAACTGATCGAATCTACTATATCGTCAGTTTTATCTGGATAATTTGTTACTCACGCAAACATAAAACCTACTATATTTTTGCAGAAATAACCTAGAAACCAAGTACAGAACGTAGGATCTGTTTTATTTCGGAATCACGCGCACGCATTCATACGTGACAATCAATGAAGCGCCGCTCGTTAAAATAATGATATCCCTCGTGTAGATATGGCCGCTCGTTAAAATAATGATATCTCTCGTGTAGATATGGTACTAAACTTCACTAGACTCACTTGTTATGATTTACTCATACCCGATCAGGAAGTATCCAACTGCGCTGAACTAGACAAGACTCGACAAAGCTTCGATGGCGAAAAAAACATACGACTAATTTGAAGTGTTATGCTAAACATGTTTACTTCAAGTTCAGGTTATTATGTTGAGCTCCATGTACAAGAAGTAACGGTAGCTTCTCAAAAAACAAACAAACAAATATTCGCAACAAGAGTCCTCTAGTTTTTAAGGTGGTAAAGTCAAAGTGACGGATCTCCTTGTGTCTGTTGGTATCAGTTTAAGATGAATTTGTAGAAAGTAATCTCGTCGACCTTTGACAGACTAGGTAACTGTGACAAGGGAAATGGTAATAGACGATCATTTTTTTTTTTAGAAAAACATCAACATAGTCCAAAATGGGACAAAAGACAACAAGAGGAAAGCACCTGAACCACCAACTACAGACGCAGGTAATATAATTAGAATAATCCATACACCTTGAACAAAATAATAATGCTTTGTTTCCATGTTTTCCTTAGCTCCATGATTTCTATGCACGAAGCAGTTTTTACATAATAGTTTTTAATTTTTGAAAGCGATTCTCCACAAATTTATGTTTCATATATTTCAGATTCAACGTATCAAAATCTACAACAGGCTACACCCAGTAACAAGTCCGATAACGCCCAGAAAGACTCGAAAGGAACGAAAAAGGTAAATAAATATAAATCATGTGTAGAATATTTTGGCTATGATGACACATACAGTGGTTAGAGAATTCTACAACTAATCATAGGAAAAATGTCAGAAATTTCAGAAGAAAATAGCCGAGTAATTCAATTACACGCACGACTACATATATTTTGTTAATCTAATTCTGACCAATTACCAATCCTTTCACACCGTATTATAGACGAAATATACAGGGTGATCCGCTATTTTAAAAAACAAAACAGAACCCATAAAACTGGCAGGAAAACAATTTAAAAAATATATAAATCGACCAAGAGGAGGTTTTTGGCAACCGTCGCCATAGGAATTTCTCATGTAACTGGGAATTCTCACAGTGTGAAGAAGACAAATGTAGTTCAATATGCTGGATGGAGCAAATGCTGCCTTTTATATGGGGGAATTATTGAAGGCTACATGGAAACCGGTTTGAAAAGACCCTTGGTCAGTTATAACATATCAACTCACCGTAAATCAATTTTGCTCTATTATTCAGAATGTTGCAGAAATATCGATTCAGATTACTGAAAGTGCATTTAGTGCGGCTGCACCTGTTCGTGATGGATTACAAAAAAGAGACGTACAAAAAAATCACGGTATGAGACGCCTAAATTAAAGCATGGTGTATTATAATACGCTGACTACGCTTATAATATATAAGTCAGTTCTAATTATTCCCCTCAATAGCATATTATGGTATGTTGTTGGTTTTCTAAACTGAATCTGAATGTCAAGATTATTTTAATATCTCTAATAAATGTCGCTAGAAAAGCAGAAAATGTGAAGGTCAGAGGAGATCATTTCTTTTTCGATGCGTTTTCATTTTTTTCTAAGTTTTGGGTTGTTTTAGTTTGATGGATGTTTCCCCGAGCATCGTTTTCGTGTTTGTTTCTGTAACAATTACAAATCAGCAATAAGTTAACAATGACGTAACAATAGGAATTTATGCCGCCGTTCAGACACTTCCTTCGTTCAGACAGTTCCAGCTTGGGGACTGACAAGATGTTTAGCTGTGTCATCGATTTTTTTTTCTGGTTTTCTAGCGAACACTCTGTATATTCAATATATCTCATTTTTAATTCCTGATTTCAGCTTCTTGGAATGACGATTTTCCGCCCATACCTCCTCCCCGAGATCCAATCAAAAGAGAACGAGCAGCGACGGTACAAAATAAACCTTATCGAGAAATTCCCATCACTGTGGGGGCAGACGAAGAAACATTGGAGTATGCTTCTTAGTTTGTGAATTCAATTATACCTTTTTTGCGTCATGATAAATCATTCATTTCATACACGCATCTTCACTATGATTTTGTATATATGACAAACACGTTAAAAAAAGCTACTTTGGTTTAATACGATTTCAAAAATTTTTGTGCATTTTATACCATCTCGTCTGTGTGTAGTTGTTAAATTATCTAATAAAATAAATATATAACTCCAAAAATCGAATAGTGCTATACATGTCCGGGTCATGGTAATCGAAATTTTGCTAGTTACATTAGAGTTAGATAGTATTCGCTAAATGCCGCAACTTTGTTAAATAGCCACTGCCTTTTCGCCATAAAGCATATTTAGTCGCTAATTGCCTCAACTAGAAGCTGCATCCGGTATGAAGTATGCAACCTTATATCTTGCGAACATCATAAAACTACGCGTACCATCGTAATTTGTGGAAGTTTACAAGAACATGAAAAATATTGATAATATCATTGCAAAACTAATAATATTTGTAATCAAAATCGATGTGTTTAATTTTTTTGAGACGAAATCACGAGAAGAAATGTACGCAAATTTTACAGTTTCTCTATTATCTCCTTGATAATAAAGCAAAACGTATATAATACTCGCGTTGGAAAGGTACAAGAATTGCTTTTGTTAAATGCTTTTTGTACTTCCATCAATAGCGGATCCGTTTCAGTGGAAGATGAAGATTCTGATACTTCGACCGTTCGTATGGAAAGATCTCTCAGTGAACTAACAGATCACACTCAACATACGAGTCCTGCTCTTGCAAATATTTTAAATGATTGGAAAGAACATCTACAGGAACAGAAAAAAGAATTGGAGGATTATTATAAAAGGTAAATAAAGAAATTGAGGTGTCTAATGTAACATTTTATAGATTTAAGTCGGTCTGGTCGGTCCTTTGCTAGACCTTGCGTTAAAAATTGTATGCTTAAGTTGCTAATGCAAAATGAAGAAATAGATTAAGGAATCTAAAAGATGGTACGTGTGAATAAAATGAACTCAAATTATAAAAATAAGTATATATATGTATATGAAAATTTCTGTATTATGCGGTCTTATTGACTTATTGCACTTATCCTTTTTCTGCGCGATGGCCCAGAAGAGGTTTGAGCGTCGGTCCTAACTACGCTAGAATTGTAGGGTAAAGAACTCTGGTTCCAGCCCTATGCCTTATAATAAATTGGGTTAAAAATGGAAAACCATGAAGATTCCTGCTCTTCCAAACATGGTAGCTACTTATCTATTGCTGCTTGTACAGAGCCTTATTTGGAGTGAAGGCGTAAAAATGCCACTAGTACGGTCCCTGTTTGTATAGGTAAAGCTTTTTACATACAAGACATGGGTTGATGATTGAAATCTGTTATTGTATATTCTGTTTATTTTCAATGCCGTCATGCAGCCCTTGAAACTTTTGGGCTGCAGTAGCATTTTGCGCAAGTCAATATTTTGGTGTAACATGCAATACACAATGAATATCCCCTTCTTTACATGCAGTTTAGCACTTTACGTCAAGCGAGTGGGATTGAAACCTGCTGGTGAAGTTATGGAAGATCGTCCTCCTCCTTCCAATGATTGTTCTATGCAAGAATGGGTGAAAACAAATCAAGTTGAACGAAGTCAAAAACACAGGAATAAATCAGAAGCCGCAATTTATTCAGATCGACCATACGCAAGCATTCACGAGGTGGACGTGCTTTTTATTAGTATAATAAACAAGATACGTGTAAACTTTGATGACTGGGAAACATATGGCAACTTTATTTATTTTACAAATTTCAATTTTGATCTAACTGATTCCATTTCTTTGATTGAAGTTCCTATTTAAACAAATAGAATAAATATGCGTGACAAGAGCTATTACATATTTTTTAAATGTAAGAGCAAAAACAAGCTTTTTCTTTTTGGAAAGCAGCTAAAATTAGATTGGCAGAAGCTTTGCTTGCTTGTTTTCTTTGCTAATGAGAAATGAAATAGTGAAGGGGAAATGATTTTAGAAAGTAGTATAAGAATTGAGAATAGAAATTTATTTTTTATTTGTTAATTTAGAACCCGTTGCTTTGTAAAAATGCTCATAAAAACTAACAAAAAGAAAACTACACAAAACTTTATCCTTTACCTACCAAAATTTTTTCAGAATTACTCAGCAATGTTGAAGTTTCCAACTCCTCCTGAATCAGTTCGTGGTGATTTTACTTGGGAACCAAACAACGAAGAAAGTCAAAAGCAGGTAGAATGATATGTAAACATGACATACATTTTCATTTTTCACGTTTGAAATTTGTTTTCATTCGAATTTCACGCCCAACACACATAACAAGTTTAAATTCTAGAAAAATAAAATTTCAAAAATTGTTGGTTTTAGACTATAGCCAATATCCGAGACTAGAATTGGAACAGAACTCATATTCTTGACTTAAAATCCTCTCGAAACAGAGGACCTAGATACTTCCACCATATTATTCATTACATTCATGCTATCTTCTTTTTGTTTTAGGTAGTAACTGATTTGAAGAAGAAACTTGCCAGATTACAGAACTTACTGGAATCAACCCAAGAAATGGCAGATAGCGACAAAAAATCATCGGCATATTATATACCTAGTCAGGTATACCAGATTCTGCATTTCTTCTTTCATGTCTTTTGATTTTCTTATTTGCTTCTTTCCTATTCATCATTCACTGAAAGCTAATCTTCACTTCCATCCACCTTCACTTCCGGTTTATATTTAAACTTTATACATTAATCTCAAAATTCTTCAATTAAAACTTACCTTAAGTTTCAGACTTACCAAGCTTTTCCCAACATTCGTTTGTTTGCTTTTAATTTGAAATAATTTTATTTGCCTATTTATTTTAGCGTTCGAAAAGTCACAAAAACCAGAATAAAACTGAATTACTTGGAGACAGAATTACCATAAAGGTATGGTGGAAAGCTTATTTGGTAATATCTTTTCATAAAATTACACAACATGGTGCGTTAGATGTAAATTCATTCAGTCACCAGAAAGTTGAAAACAGCAATTTCATTCCAAGTTTTCAGTAGATTAGAATCATAGGTTGCTGGTTGATAGCTTTGCGATCAACCTCTGGTAACCGCTCTTCTTTCATCCATATTTTTGAACGATTGGCTCTGACTGAATATAAGCTACAATATGTGCTTTGAATCTATATACGCGATATTAATATTATTTCTTGTACAGGTTCTTTTACAAAAACTAGAAGAGCCACAGCGACTGAAAGTCCAGATGAGAATAGCACAAGCTCTTGACACTTCAAGAAAACGAGGAGGCATGAATATCGCGTCACGTGATGGACCCATCACATGCCTATCTAAGCAAATACATCATGTTATGAACGACATCTTGGATCCCAGAACGTGAGAAAATACATATCCTTTATATGTAAAACTGTAACTTTAGAGAAGTTCACTTGTTTGTTCATAATATCGTGTTTCTAAAATTTGTTAAATACTTCGACTTGTGGAAGTTACTGTGCATGAAGTATAGTCAGTCGCCTTTACCAATGCAATTATCATTAGGCTGCCAAAAGGGGCCCATGCCATCTCCGTTAAATTGAGTATTACGACATCACGTTTTCTGGTAACATGACTTTTTATTACAGCTTTGCATTTCTTAAAGGGTTTTTAAATTCAAACTGCAATTTTGTAGTTTATTCGGTTTTAAAATGTATTTATTTTATTGTCATAAATACATAGGCTACTATCTGATATCCCAGTAGATTGTTCCCGTATATAATCAAAAATACGACATCATATTATGACGTGAAAAAGTTTCAGTTTTTGAATGGTTTCTCGCCCTGCGAAATCCTGGGCACGCCAATTTGTATACCAGTAAAGCTATACGGTATAAAATATGTCGTGAAATTACGATTTTTTTTCAGACATGTATAAATAAACCCAAAATTCTGTTTATTTTCCGCAGATCCACAAAGATAGAACTTGGTGCACATGCTGCTTGCACTCTTGCTACCAAATTATTGACCAACGTTCACTCAAACTTACTTCCAGTGCTAAATTCTGAATCTTCGAAACAAAACGTTGCCAGAACCACAAATCGAATATCAATTTTAAGCAAACAGTTGCTGGATATGACAAAACAGTTGATGACACGGCATAGCTTGTTTCAATCAAAGGTAGAGTATAGCAGTGGGCTTGAACATATGTAAAAGGAACATTTCAGTTACTCCGCTGCCCCCCATGAGGCGATTTTGAAGAAAACATTTTATAAATTGAAAGTATTGGGGAACGTTAACTCAATAGTACCATTGTCCGTTTGTCACATATAAGGCATTTTTGAAGCGATTATTGCATTTTTCACTTTTTGGGGTGTACCCTTCTGGGTTTAGGTTAGATGGTATTTTAGATTTGGGTGCAATTTAATATCATAAGGGTGAAGCACAATTCGGAGCGGTAGACGCGATTCAAAATAAATTATTTTGGTAAAATACTCGATTCGAATTCAACCGAGAAATTTGATCTGGAGAAAATGAGCGTGTTGTCAGAAGTTATGACATGCTCATATGAAAATGTTTAATTTTATAGCTACGAAAACTTTATACAGTTTCTTATCTTATTTAGGACAGATCAGGAAAACCGCAAGCTAGTAAGATTTGATGCGCACAATTCTCAATATAGATTATAGACGATTGATTTTAAATTATTTATCGTAGTGTTTATTTTCAGGACTACAGCGTTTTTGTGAATGCATTTGTCGATACTACAGAAAAAATCATGGACACAACATTTCATCTTGTTTGTGTAATAGTCGATTTACAAAGAGCGGAGAGACGAGGTTTGATAAAAAGCCAGTCACAAACTACTCGACCTCATCTCACTCAGATACAATCAAGAAGCGTTTCTCAAAGACAGTCCCTTCCTCAACAAGGAAGACAAGAGAAAGGAGAGTTGTTAAGTAGACTTCATTCAGAGTCCAATTCCACAGCATTGTCTGCAGTGGACGTGAGAAGACTTAACGATGATTTAGCAAAACTACGCCAACTTTTGAACACAGGTAAAATTTGACACGCACTCATGTGCTTGAGTACACGCGTTTAAGCATTTATGTATTCGCGTATTCAAGCATTTATATGGGTTCCTTTTAAAACAGCATTTTTATAAAAACCCCACTAACCCCGCCCCGGCACAACTTTCGACAAGAAGGTAACTTATATATACTGAAAATATTCCAATATTTTTCAGTCATTTTCAATCAGGTAATCGAATTCGTTCCAAAATATTTTTCAGTCATTAGCAAACTAATTATATAAAAATGTTGAATATCACAATTAATGGCCCAGTGTATGTTTGACAGCCGAATATCCTGTAGCAGACCATTCAAATGCCAATTGAGACTACATTTCCATTCCTAACCCAACAGCTAGTCTAGATACCTAATATGTAGATATTCCATTCCAATATTGAAAAGTTATAAGTCATGCCTAAATTTAGTTTATCAGTTTGCAAACAAATTCATGAGTATCACAGATACTAGGCTTCAATTCACTCAAACATTAGCAGCACCTCGAACAAAACGAAATGATAAAGCACCAACAAAACATGACTTAGATAAAACATGTCAAGTATGACTCAACAGATAAAATACTGTTGCCAGTAAAAAGATAAAGTTAAGAATACTAAAAAAATATGCAATATGAATTATCACAATTTGTGCATTTTCACATGTAGAATGAGAAATAATTATTTTTACATCTTTCTAGAAACTCAACTTCCGTCATTATCTGAAATCACAATTCCAAGGCAAAGTAAGTTTACTCACAATCACCTGGATCACGCAGCAGATGACGACTTTCCTTTAGGATATCAATATGATGGTCAGGATATGAGTGAATGTGATACGATGTCTACATTGAGGTAATTTTCCTCTTTTTGCTACATTTTTCTCTCCAGTAAATTACATTCATTGTTATGCACTTTCAACGAGCTTTGGTATATATATATGACGGTTCCATTACATTTGAACCCACGTACATTTGAACCCATGACAATTGCACCTGTATGCTATTGCACCTATGGAATTTTTTTTGTTTCACGGATAGTTAAACCCATACTAACCATAACCCATGGGTTTTAGCACCCGCATATAGATTGAACCCGTGGATATACGCATTGGTTCAAATGTACATGGGTTCAAATGTACGGTCACCATATATGACAGGATGTAGGCCTAAGACAAGCATTTGGCTTTAATGAAATGTTTTTCAGAATAATTTCTCGATACCAAGGTCTTCTTCTCGGGGAAAACGCAAATTAGTAAAAATTAAATACAATACAAACTTTACGACTGTTTTCAATTTCTCATTTCAAAATTTCAATTCATTGCAACTTGCATGTGTCTGCGAAAACTGGCATGAATCAACTAATGACTGATTTTTTTTTCTTTTTTTTATCAGTTGTTCTACATGCATTACTGAAAATGATGATCATTACTTCTATAGCGATGATATTCCCCCGCCCCCTCCGCCGAAATTCTCTGCTCCGCCAGCAAATCTCAAAAGAAAACAAGATGGAAGAGTACAGTACACAGACATCATTTTTGATCCCGAGATTCAGCGTCCATGGACACGTCCAAAAAAAGAAGAAAATTTACATCACGTTACGATGCCGCATATACAAATGGATAGGCCTGGGAATCATCAAGTCGCACTTGTTTCGGCACAAGCCAGCAACGTCGAATCCACAAAAGAGAATCAACGTAAAGCGAGTAGTTTAGATCCTTCGTCTTTTGCTTCCTTCCATTCTGATCGACAAGTTATTAATAACGATGATGTACAACCACGCCACCAAGCTATGTTGGCAAGATATTTTGGTGGAGAGACGATGGAGCCTAAAAACGTTGTAAATGAAAATCAAAAAGATAACCTACAGCAGGCGTTAGAAAATCCAACTACGCCAGCTATAAATCAGGCTGTATTGCCATTGGTCGAATCAGAAAATCCAGATGGGGATTGTCCGGCGGTGACTATGTTACCATACGGTTTGGTGGCACAGGATACACCGCCTATCGTAAATCCGCCCAAAGATAAACGCGTGAAGCTTCCTAAGATACCAGAAATTACAGTAGTACGAAACGGAGAAAATGAGACAAATCAAAGCATAACACCCTCCACAACCGAAGAACCGACCAACGACTTTGTAGAGAGTCCCAACAACGCCCCATATTCGGAAAATTTAACAGATGATCCATATAGCTATACCGATACTTTGCCTATGCACCGAAAGGAAACAGCTCCAATTTCTGAAGACAAGCCAATAGATTCCTATAACGAGCCCCAATCTCATACGTCAGAAGACAACTCACTGAAAAAAGATATTTCTGTAAATTACTTAGGAGATGATGACTATGAACTTCACATGCCTACGTCTCCAAAATATGTCGATGACATAAATCCAAATCACGAAGCTGATTGGCCAATGGATGACAATAACGAAATGCCATACAAAAATTCTGAAAACGAAATCGAAAATGGCGAGCCTACGTCCCCAAAATATGTCGATGATATAAATCCAAATCACGAAGCTGATTGGCCAATTGATGACAATAACGAAATGCCATACAAAAATTCTGGGAACGAAATCGAAAATGAAGATCGCGAGCCTACGTTCCCAAAATATGTCGACCACATAAATCAAAATCACAAAGCTGATTGGCCAATGGATAACAATAACGAAATGCCATACAAACATTTTGGAAACGAAATTGAAAATGAAGATGGCGATCCCGATACAAAATTGGATAGCGAGGAAGACAGTATCGCAAGTTTTAGTATGAGCGTAGGTGATATTTTAACGGACGACGAATCAGTTGTAACGACGAAAATGAAGTCACAATCAATTGAAGATGATAACAATTCTGGTGCGATCGACGATAACACAATAAGAACAATAGGACGTGGCGATAACATTAACGATGGTCTGATATCGGAATTTGAATTCCCGAGAGTGGATAGTCGTCTGAACAATAATTTAAACAACGGTGCTGTAAACTCTAGGACCGGAACTCCAAAACCAGAGATTCTATTAGAATCTAATCCACAAACGAGTTTATGTGACGACATCAATAAATTTGCCGAAGATACTGAACCTGCTAATCATGATACTAATAAAGCGGATGAAGTCATATATGACGCAGTATGCAGTGAAAATAGTGACAACGCTCCAGAGGAAAAAGATTTGTCTCCGAGTGAATTTAAGAAAAACGACCCAATCTATGATAGTCCTGCTGATTCTGCAGAAAACCCGCCTAAAAATAATGAACCTACCATTGACGAAAATAAAAAGAAGGAGAATCGATTTTCGATTTCACCCAAATCAAAGCATAAAAAGTTTAAGATGCCAAAGTTTTTTGGAAAGAAAAAATAATCTGATTATATTTTTGGTGTAAACGTTAAAGATATTAGAAACAAACGTCCCATCCATACGTATACCAAAAATAATTTATCTTTAGAAAATGCATTTACTTGCTGCTTGTACTGATTTTAAATACTTATTTGTGCAAAATATAAATTATAAAATATATGTTTATTCATAAGCTTAAGCAAGAACTCATTTTGTTTGATAGTCCAACCAGAAATTTGGCAAGTATTGAAGCTTGTGTGTATTGAGTGAGAGGGAATAAAATTTCATTCACTGGTGATCTCCAAATGTCGTGTGCCACTTGTATAACTTGTCTCCAGTATGCTCCCCAACTTTTCATTTTCGGGATGGGGTGCTTCCAAATTTTGAAACTTGTTTTAATTTGGTGAAATAAAAGGGGTTGTTCCCCCCTATAAGTATCACTTGTTCCGTTTTGGTCATATTTGTCCCACACCTGCCCTAACTTGTCCCCCAATAGTCATCATCTAATTACATTTAAATGATTCGTAGTATATGATCCAATACATCCTCTGGAGTCGGACAAATAGAACAGGTGTGGCCTGCTCTTGCCACACTCGTCACACGCCCCTTGTTGTCCCACACCTGTTCTATTTGTCCGACTCCAGAGGATGTATTGGATCATATACTACGAATCATTTAAATGTAATTAGATGATTTTGGACAAAATGTTCCAAAAGGTCATAGTAAAATAGCTAGAGAATATTTTGTAGCTCTTATGCAAATAGACATATGAGAAAACTAAACTTGATTAAACTGAACACTGAACAGCTAAAATATTGTTTATAAATATATTGGTAATTCATCGGAGTTTAAATAGGAATACATGCAGTAAGATGACATTATCTTACAGATAGTCTGACAATTGAATTCTGAAACTTTTTATAGGTGAGTTAGTGATGATGTTAATAAGGTGATTTCGGTAATTCAAAGTTTCATCTTCACCCCTATAATATATATAAGTTAGGCATGTTTTCACAACTGAAATATTGTCTGAATTTGCGGTGGGCGCAGTTCAACTATACGCCTACAGTTAACTTGTACACATTTACTTAAATTTATTCACTGCAAATAAATTAGAAATCAAATCATTCATGATCAGCTGTGGATACTGGGCACCAACTGTAAGAAATGTTAAGTATTTATTTATGGACACTAGGTTGTGCTCTAGAATCCTTTTTCCACATCATTTATCAAAATGCCTGTATTGCGATATTTGTACAATTATATAAGCGTAGTAGCCTCATATCAGCCTGTGTACCCTGGCCTCTTATCCAAAATTTCCACATCATTTATCAACAGTTCTGCCAGTCTTACGATATTCGTACAATTATATAAGCGTAGTAGCTCCATATCGGATTATGTAGGCTGATTTCTTATACTAAATTTAATATTGATGTTGCTTTGCTGCTTGTATTATTTTTTGTGTATAATACAAATGAGTTTTACACATAATTTAAATGAGCCAGCTTAGCTGTCTGTGCCCACCAATAATATGGCAACTGTGATTTATTCCTGTTTTCGCTCACTTCCTTCTGACAGTTTTAACTTTGTTTGTCTAGTTTATGCTTGGAGTGATGGCCGTATAAGTATATTAAATTGTGAGCAACTGTCGGAATAAACTTACTCAGTGTTGTGCATTACTGCTATAAAATAAGTCTCAGCAGCAAAGGTTGGAAAAAACAAATGATACAAGTGTTAGAAATGTTCCATCTTAGAGATGTATCGTGAGTGATCCGAGTGATGACATTAGGAAAGTGGGCCATATATGAGACACACTATTTTCGAGACACTTTAGAAATAGGTAGTATTTTGTATCAAATCCAGTGAAAATTTCCATGAAAATTATAGAAAAAACAATTCATATTTGAGTGTCAAATTGCACCGAAGACGCATTGAAACCTTGTCGAACGAAAAGTAAACAAAGTATGTAAAATGTACGGAACGATATGCAATTCAACATTTCCAATATAATGCCTTTTGAAGTACGATTTTTTTATCTGCTATTATCCATTAAAGTGTCGTGTAACAATGGAGAACACTGATTGTGATAATCAGAAATTGACGTAAATTGTGCTATCAGCCGTTAGGAAATATTCAAAAATGACAAGAATTATTTCAATAGCAATATTTATTTATATATTAATCATACAGAGTTTTTAAAAATCAACCCACAAAACACAAATATATATACACATATATATGTATCAATTTGACTGGCGGCTTGCTTAAAATGATAGATAATGATTTTTGATGAGAACAATAATATACAGAAATCAATGGATAAATAAAAATACATGCACTTGATGATAGATACATAGTTATTGTCAATTTGTCGTCGTCAAGAACCTTACAACGTTGTATATGGATTATTAAGCGACTTCCAAAAACTTCCGAATTACTAACGATTCGTTCACCAAATAGATTTGATTGAAATGAAATCACAGGACAATATTACTGGGATGGAAAAATAAAATATACGAAAATGCTAAGCCGTTTTGGGTGTCAGAAACATTGTAATGGGCCCACTGTTTATGATAATGAAAAATAATGCGAAATAAACTTTGAATTATTTTTATCCAGTATTCATTATACGCAGCTTAATCTAGGGCACATACTATATTATAAAACTTTATGTCTATTAAATAAAAGGCTACAGAATAATGACAGAAACTCTATTTCCTGATGATATTATGATTCGTTATGAATGGAAGGTGGAAATCAGAGTTGAAACAAAAAATTCAAAATGAGTGCGTCGAACTTCAAGTGCAAGAGCAAGTTTCCTCATTACATACTTTTCATCTTTTAAACTCTTTTTAAACTTCAAAATATTGCAACGAAATGTATAAAGTTATTTTTTCTGAAAAACATACTAACACATAATTACAGCTGTGATTAATACTTGGAGCTTTTTCAACGTTTTATTGCGGGCCAAAATTCATCGAAAATGAGTAAATATATGACGAAATATAAAATTATCAAAAACGTTGCAGAAAAGTAATATTAGAAAACGTCAACTAAACCCAAATTTCGTAGTATTTAATGAATTATGTATGTTGAATTCATCCAATATCCCTAGTAACGAGGCGTCATGTAAATGTTTTTTTCTTTAAAAACGGACATTAAATTAGCGGGCAACGATTATATGATTTATCTGTGTATCATGTACGACACAGAGTACATTTTAAATTTTGAATATCAACTGAATTCATGTGTTATGATTTATAGTCAAAGTGCATCATATTTTTCTTTTTCTTTCGTAGCATTTAAGCTGGGCCAACTTTGTTTGTGCTGACTGTAGTCATAGCCGACATAGATGACGGAGCCATACTGGATGAAACAACATCTTCCGCCCAGGGATGTTTTCCATTGAAAATGTAACGGATCGTAGCGTCGCGAAACTGAAATTGATAAAGAATGAAAATTAGATTATAGTTTATCGATCAAACTCATCAACTTTGCTATCGATTTTATTCGACAGTCTCGGCCATCGCTGTGAGGTCGATATGTATTACAGTAATCCATTATCGGTATATAAGAAAAATAATAAGGTCATTTGAACGCGCAAAAATCTGTCAAAATAATATCTGACATTCATATAATTGTAGTCGCGGTAAACCGAGTACGGTATTCTGATTATACAGCATTCGTAGAGCCAGATGAATTCATTATTTACACCAATAGAGTTTATTTTTTCGCGAAGAATTTCGAGTTCATTATCAATCATGCCAGGTTGATGAAATCAACTAACTTGGATGTCGAATTTGCATACATTTAACACTTTGCCCAGCAGTTGAAACGACATAAAACAACCTATCTCCGAAATTTGAAAAAAATATATATCATTTTGTACAATTAAAAAAGTCTAAAACTTATATAATTACTCCGGTAGTGCACTGGAGCAGCAGTAAGACCCATTGAACCTCAAAACCATAATATAGACAGATAGTTGATATTTTTAGTAATGAAAATCGACTGTGGAAGTACACAATTTTGCTTGTTTATCTCAAGTAAGGTTGAATAAAGGCTATATAAGAAACCAAATCAATCATGTATAAGCATGTATTTTTTATATTATGTAATCCATAATGCCGATGAAACGGAAATAATTTGAAACTCTAATACAAATTTTGGCATTATGCCTACTACGATAGGAAATTATTTTGTAAATTTATGCATGGATTTAATGTTGTAACAAATCAAATTAAAAAAGCTCTAATATGTGGTATGAGACGAAGACGCTGAAATGATGTTTTATTATCCGTATTTTTTACTTTATGTAATCCATAATGCCGATGAAATGGAAATAATTTGAAGATTTCAATTCAAATTTTGGCATTATGCCTACTACGATAGGAAATTATTTTGTAAATTTATGCATGGATTTTTAATGTTGTAACAAATCAAATCAAAAAGCTCTAATATGTGGTATGAGGCGAAGAAGCTGGAATGATGTTTGATTATCCAAAGATTTTCTGTTTTTGATTATTCACACCTTCGGACCATTTTTTTTTTGACTGCATGAAATTTTTCTGACATTGCGATGGTCACGTCAGTTGATCGGCTTTCTTGTTCATATATATGAGCATTGCTATCATGCTCTTTTTTAAAATATTATTGTCCTTATCTATCGAAATAGTTTTATTATATTTTTTGTTTACAGAAATATGTTTTGATAAAACTCCTTCTGTTTTTTGTTGTCACTAAAATTCTGAAAAAATCGGAAAATTCGAAATGATATACCTAAATAAGCTGTAATAGTGATTTGAATATAGAAGATTGGTTGGATAATTACTCATTCGATTTCGAGTAACAACAAAAACTGTCTTGAATGCATTTAACATGCAGACATATTTTTTGAGTGGTTGCAAATTTCTAATAAATTAGTATATTTTACTAATTGTTTGCCGAAATTTGGAAGAGCTATTTAAACATAAGTATACATACTTGTTTGTTGAGTCCAATGTAAATCAGGGGGTTGTAGACAGTTGCTGATTTTGCAAAGAATGCAGGCAAGGCAGAGAGAGCGTAATTAGTCTGCAAAATAAGATGTTTTAAGGAGCACTTCGATTAAGAATATTATATAAAAATTTTAATGACAATCATATTAGTAATATAATTATTATTAACAATTCTTTCATAGCATGTAAAACAAATAAAAAACCTTCAAAAATATCCGGTACAAATATATCATACCCTTATTGGCGCATAACTCGAAAAGTAAAAAAAGAGTGGTCTTTGATATGTTTTTTATCTTCTAAAGCAGGGGTGTGCAACCTTTTTACAGGAGGGCCAAATACGAGTAATTGGGCGAAGCCGCGGGCCGCACCTTTATTTAAGACAGACTTTCTGGTAGTCGCAGGCACAAAAATTGTTTCGTTTTGTTATTGATTTTACGGCATTGATAGGGTCCTTGCAGGAATGATGAGGTAAAACGCATAATTTTCTAAAGAAAACTGCTATATATTCAAATTATTCAAATTATTGTCACACCCGCTTTGAACGAATTCAGTGAGAAACTCGTTTTTATAACATAGTGTATTTTGCAACAGGATTTGCTAGCCAGCTTTACTAACGCAGTATGACAGTGGCACTCAGATACTGGTATAGACTTTGCGACGCAAAGAGATTGGAATTGCTCCCACGTACCAGATTAACTAAACTAAGACTCGTTTCGCGGGCACATCGTTCAAAATTGGCACTTCTTCGCGGGCAGCATAATATTTCCTTGCGGGCTGCATTTGGCCCACGGGCCGCAGTTTGCACACCCATGTTCTAAATCATATAGTATTTCTTACCTGGTAGGTAATCACGGTGTACATGGAGACAACGGCATACGGAGTCCAACAGAAACAGAAAGCAAAAACCATGACAACCACCATCTTCGTCACTTCCTCGTCAGCACTAACTCCACGACTGCTCTGAACCATGGTTGCTTTTTTCATCTATAAAAGTGATGATTATTTTGTATTATTTTAAGTTTTGTTTTCTGCTCATATATACGTGAAATTTAGAACTTCGGTGGTAACTAAAAACTCAAAGTTTATCAACTATCAGATTCACTTTTTATAAATACTTGACGAAAATTTCTAAAAAGACAAAACATGTTATAATGATATGATAATATAATATAAAATGGCATAATTAAGAGAAGATAAAATAAAAATACAAGGATAGTGCTTTTTAGAAAATCTGTAAAAAGGTTTCGAAGTATGTGTAGTATAAAAGAAAATGGCGCTTTTAACAATTAAAGTCTGTTGCTTATGTCAATTTTATGTCGACCGCACAATTGATTCATGGTTGAAGTTGCCATTTTGTTTTTCAATTAATATTTTTCATTTAATTGATTCACATTATTTCACCATTCTAGCATTGTAAATGGTTGACTTTAATACAAGATTATGTCATAAAAAAATTTGTTAAAGTGATGCAAGACCCTCGAACGACTCAATGACACAATCAATGTTTTGTTCATTAGCAACAAAACTAAGATTCAAATCTATTTGTTATATTTCCTATATACCGGGTCATTGTGCCACTGATTGCCCCTGGTATAAAAAAAAAAAACAAGTTGATCTCAAGTTAGTAGGATTGTTCGCGCAGCACAGATTGGCTGCAAACGAAATATCAATTGATGTATGCAAATATTTTACCTCACGAAGCTTCATGATCAGTTTCGTGTAAGAAATAGCGATGATGAAAAAGGGAACCACAAAGCACCATACGAAATACATGACGATGAACATTCTCTTTCCTGGTTCAGTAACGAAATAGTTTGGTGCGCAGTTGGTTCCGATTCCTTCAGCTTCATATCCGTCCCAAAATATCATTGGTGGGGTGTTCCACAAGATAGAGTATATCCAGGTAAACGCAATTCCTGAAAATAAAAATAATTTATCATATTAGTGTGATATTATTATAGATGGGTGTCTAACAGTTGCATAAGTTATAAATTATCATAAGTATATTATATTGGAAGCACATTCCGGATGTTTTTGGACTCTGTGGGAGAAACCTAGGGGCTCCGCGAGCTATTTACTTATTAAAATACTTGGCTATTTTGGTAACTGTCAAAAAAGCAATTATATATGACATTATTAAAATTTGACAATAACGTGGTAATTCAAATATGATATTATCTATAAGTCCCAATAGATATTGCCAGATTTCAATTATTGCATTGTTGCCACAATTCGACACTACTTTATTGAAATGTTTGTCAAGTGTCAAATTTACAGCTTTAATTAATATAATTTATTTTTATATTTATTTCTAGCTTGTATTAAATACAAGGCAGCGAAGACATCAGAGTCATTAATAATTAAACAAAGTAATTTTAATTTACTCGGGAACATTAGTAGATAAGTAACAATATATATTTTTGTTTTTATATTCATAAATTTATTGAACGGTTCCGTAATTAATAGCCAACATCTACACGGGATCCATAGCACCAAACGTTAGAGAAGCCATGATATACACGACTCAAATATCTGCCGGTAGAAAAATGTATGTAAAGTAAATATCATCGATCGGTGTGCGTCAATTTTGCCGGGAAATAAGGGGTTATTAGGGGCATAGTTCCTTGTGATAAGTGTATGTACATCGACAAAATGAACACGTATATAAAGAGTATAATATAAAGCGGTTTCTTGTACGGATTTATTTGACTCCATACCGAGAGTGATAAATCTCATGAAGAATTACAAGAAGGCACTTACCTATTATTGCGTGCTTTTCATTGAATCTTACAGGTCCGAACGGTTTGCAAATGACAAAAAATCGTTCAAACGCCATCACCGCAATTGACATCAGTCCAGCAATACCTGGAACATTATATAAACATTTGTCTGACATTCTTTTCGTTGTTTACACTTTATATCGATTGAAATTTGATAAAAACTCTTTATTGAAATTATAAATTTCACACGACCTCCATTTACAGATCAGTGAAAATATCAAATAAACCCAAAACTCAGAACAAGTCGAGTCATTTAATATAACGACCTGGGCGAAGAAGAATATCATCGTATTGAGGATTTTCACCAGGGCGGGCGGCCACGCATCGGTACTCCAGGGGCCACAAGCAAAGTCCTCCGCTAGGTACAATTTGTAAAAACTACTCTTATTTCAAGCAAAGTAACTGAGTTTTATTCTATGGATCAAATACATTTAATCTTTTGCTTTCGTTTGTTGTTGTTTTTTCTTATTAAACATGGCGCGTGGAATAAATGATGTGACCACAGGTATTGAGAGTGTTTGTGGACCATGGATCATAAAAGTTTCAGAACCACTGCATGGGGTAGAACATGTTATCAGAAATTCTTCAGAATTTTATACATAGCTCTATAGATTTGAATATTATCAAATTTCATGAGAGTCATGATATCGAGCATGAAATAGTAACAAATGAAAAACCCTTTTAATTACCTCCAACCGAAGCGATGTAGCCTTCCATAGTGCACATCCATTTCCCAGCAAAGAAATGTCCAGCTACATTAGCCATCACGTTCAAAGTGTTGCTTGAGAGAACCGCCAGTAGATCAGCGACAGTCAAATTAATGACAATATAATTGAGGGGAGTCCTGATACTCTGAAAAAAAAGTTTTGTTTGATATTTATTTGAACCCGGTTTATATAAATATGTAATGTTTATATTGTTGATTGCATTTAGAATAGAAAAGCAACAATACTGCAAACTTTTCGTCGTAAAAAGTTGAGCACATTACACTGCTAAATAAAGTATAAGTCGGATAACTTCGAGGTCAGTCAGTATAATAACTTCGGGGTGAACCTGAGACTTCCCAAAAGTTATTGTTCCATCGTAGGTAGGCTGATGTAAATGTTTTTAAGTGTAAAAATTGCCGATTTGCTGATTGAAAAATACATATTTTATTAAACAAATGTAAGTATTTAAAAATCGTTTATTTGTCCACATTGCACGTATTCTAAATTGCACATTCGTGGCTGTTTGCGATAAAAATTTAGTACCATTCCAATCAGACTCACTTACTCCAATCAGACTCACTTACTATTCAGCATAATATAAGTTAAACATGCGTGTTAAATTATAATATTTTTTGAAGATGCTCATCGGATAGAAGTTTGTCGTTGCGGGGAAAATGAAACTTCAAATGAACCCATAGGTCAATGAGCAAATTCGAGTAATTAATCATTTAAGATGACTAACAATGACAAACGGGGTCATCTTTGGGTCGACGAATATTTATCGGTCAAATCAAAACATATTTTTCTTCTTACAAATACGTAATAGATGAATTTACGAGGAATCGCAGACGGATCATCTCCTACGTGAAGTGCCGTAACTCGACAAACTATCGATATATATCGATCTTGTCTTGTACATTGAATCATTCGCATATTAAATTAAGCCCTCGACGTCATAGTGTAAGTAATCGAGATTCCAAACCACCCCGCCCACCCGCTGAACTATATCCATCCCATGAGATGCAAGCCATAATAATGCACCATATTTCGTATTCTGGTGGATATTTGTGATGATTTAAGTGATATTAACAAATTACGGTATAGCCTACTGTTTGACCCTTCGACGAGTCGAAATCTTATAAATAACAAGTTCGAAAATAAAAGAATTGACATTTTGGAGGGGGGGTTCAGAAAGTCATGCCCGGACAATGACCCAGTAGCCTTTAAAAATTTCTCAAAAATTTCGATCAGTTCGAAACGTTTGTGGCGATGTTATCGATCTCATTAAATTTCCTTTTCTGAAAAGTATGACCTTTACCAGCAGACCATAATAGAATTACCGAATTACCTTCGTTCAAAAATCAGCATTATTAAAATTTAATCTTATAGTTTAGAAAACAATGACTATATTGTGAATTTCATGTTATAGAGTGGAGAAGTCTTACTGTCTTATTATTAGTGGTACGATACTGGAGCGTAATTTCTGCTAAATTATTATTTAAAACAAGTTTGATAAATGTACAGGAAAAGGTTTGGAATTTGATAATGTGATCCATAAAACACATTAAATTTATCTAATTTTTTTAATTTTCCATCACAATTTTACAAATTCGTCTGTACATTCCAAGATGTCATTAACAATCTAATCATGGAAAGTTTTAAGTGAGAACACTAGTTACTTTCGTGTAATTCAATGTTTTTTTGTCTATTTTGTTGCTGTTTATAAACTCATTTAGCGTGTTTTACTTCGTTACTTAGCGTAGTTTTCAATCATGGAGCGAGTGCTGTACAAAAATAACTTTTATTCGGGTCTATGAAACATAACCCCTTGTTTACAATTGGATTGTGATATCAGTTTTTGCTATCATTAGAGTTACACTAGGAGACGAAGTTTTTACGGAATTTCAGATTTTTAATAAGTGAAATTTTTAACTGAAGAAATCTAAAAACGAATTGCAGTCTGGAATTTATCAAAATAATGGTAGTTAGGAATCGAATATTGCAATTGAAGTCCAAATTTCGCCAAATCAGAGCTTGTATTTTGAATTGTTCCAAATCGGATAAAATTGATATTTTCTTGCCTGTACCTGAGTCCCAACTAAAAATCGACCGGGGAAAATTAAATGAGAATTGGAATACGCAAATGTTCTGTGTTACAGCTGTAGAAACTAAAATAGGAACTTCAGGTCAATATCCAATATTCCAAGAGAGCTCTTGTATAAAATGGTTAATTATTTTATTCCACAATCCTATTACAAACAAGGACATAATGTTGGAGAAACTTTTGACTCGGAATAATAAACCGCTAACGCGCAAGCTAACGAGCATGCTTTACTCGTGTATTTTTGATGAGGTTTATCGCATCGCCCAAACTAAACATCAATATGTGGAACAATAAATAAACATACCCTGCATGAACATAACAGCAATAAAGAAATCATTGTCGTCTAGCTCAAAGGTGATTTTTGTAAAGCAAATGTGAGCAAAATTTGCTGATATCAAATGATGATTTGAAAGTTGAAGACATAATTCAGTTTGATTGACAAAAAGTTAATAAAACAGCAAAGGCTAACGAGTAAAATAAAAAGCATGTATTATCCCATCTTTCTTCGTTCTAAGTCTGACGTCCATTTAATTAGTAGATGTCTCTTCTATCTATATACGCGTTGTATCTACTCTTATAAATGAAAAATTTGAATGAAATGAAAAATTTGAATGAAATGAAAAATAAATTTACAACATACCCTGTTATGGTAAGCCGTGAGAAGAACAAGCATGTTGAAAGAAAATGAGCAGACGAACAGAAATGACATATAAATTGCAATCATCGAGTAGTAGAATCTGCTGACACGTAGAGCGTGGGGGGGATTCCATGAATCCCAGACAGCTGGGATGCCATCGTTTATTGCTGTGACGTTCATGATACCTTGAAAATAAACAAAAAATATTTTTACGATATTTTCTATATAAAATTCAGTTATAATTAAATGTGTATGTCATGAGTTACAAGATGAACCCGCATAAGAAAATATAAATAAATTTGCGAACTTTAGATGAATGGTGGTAAATAAATGCAAATCAATCAAAGATAAAAAAAAATTCTGTTCGCAATTCGAATAGTTAAACAAGCCGGCAAACGGAATTGATTCAATATACAATGATACGGTAATCATATCATGCCACAATAGGTGTATTTATTCATCTTTTTGAAAGCCTAATTTGCTGTGGGAACCTGACGAAATGCAGCGGCCCAGTGTTTCGTTCGGCCCAAACAAGTTCGAGGTTCTCATTGCTGAATTAATATAATTCTGAATGAATTTGAGAAGAATCTGTGATCTTTTGCACACAAAAATAATTCAGTTGTCATCACCGTGCTAAACAGATGCCGACCCTTATATAACGCTGGGGAATAAATATGTCGATTAAGTCGAAATATACACAAAATATATCCTCATGATCATTTTGAGTTGAAGAATGAATGCTATAAATGCATTTCAAAACAGAGTTTTAAATTTAATATAAAATTTTGATTAAAATGTTCCAAATTTGAATGATTTGCGCAGATTTTAAAACAATTCACTTTCAAATAACAAACTATATATATGTATCTTTTTAGCGTACAAAAAACGCAAACGAGTCTACCGGCGGTGCAAAGAATACCCTCTCATTGTCTTCTCTACGCGATTTCACCATTATATATATGTATATATATATACTATGCCTGACAAATAGCGTCGATGTATGTTTTATTACTGACCTGCAATAAGTAAGATATGCTATGTGAAAAATTAGCATGAATCTCCGTACTTATATACGTAGCGTCCATTAAGATCATGAGAAATACGATATGAAAAATCGATTCGAGGATGTCTTGATATATAAACCATTGTTTACTGAATTCACGTATGAGGTAAACGAGGTGGAAAGTACGATAAGAGTAAACTGATGAAGGTCACATTAAAACTTGGTTTTACAAACTTTTTCGTGACCGTGTAAACGAATGACTCAGTTATCAGGTTTAACTCATACTCTAAAGCAGGGCTACTCAACTGGCGGACCGCGGTCCGAATCCGGACCTTTCGAGTATTGGATTTGGACCGCACCAAATTATTTATTTTGGATCATTAGCCCCACTTTTTGAATTTCCTATCATAAAATGATTTTCATAGTTTTGAATATATAGGAAAAGAAATATAACACCATAATAAACAATTTTTATATGCTACTAATCATTAGTCGGTCGAGGAAATGCTCGTTTACGGATGCCGAAATATCAGTTCTGGAAAGACCGGACCCAAATAATTTTGAAGTTTTTTTTGCGGACCTTCGATAAAAATAATTGAGTAGCCCTGCTCTAAAGCACGACGGACACTCACTTAGTCTTAATTATAAAATAAAATGTCGAAAGTTTGAGACAAGGTGGGTGTGGAAAACAAATTGGCATTTCACAGTAAATAAAAGTTAGCTGCTGCATATATACAATACACAATACAATTTCTACAACTAGAACAAATCGACACAGTTTGATAGAAATATTTCACATTGTTATGAAATACAAACCTGTGGTGTTTGGATAATTCATATAATCATCATCGTCATTTCCCATCGCAAATTGTTCCAGCCAAGGATTTACGTCGTTACCTTGATTACCACGCATTGTCCTCATTTTATTGCGACTTGGCGTTTAGTGCAATATTTAATGAACAAACTATAGTAAAAAAGGTAAAAGTGTTAATCATAAAACTACAAAATATTGGGTCATATGAATTTGTATGTGATTATGACATTTCTATACTTACATATATCCATGAATTGTTTTTACTAACTATTTAGATAATGACTGTCGTCTTTTATCATGCTTCGCTACTATACGTATACATGTAAGGGGATGTTAAGTAGTTGTCTCGTTAATAGCATTACCCATGGCACAAACTCAATTTTTATGCAGAATAATTAGTTGTATTAGGGATATATTGCGCCGAAATCGCGTTTAATTCAGTGTGTATAATTACATAAAAGCAAAATACGATCGATTTATTAAAACGTAATACTTCACTTTATGAATGCAGTCGGATTCATGTCCAATAGTCAATAGATCATTATTGTGCCAAGTAATTAATGTTGTACGATACTTTACATCAATTGTGTTCTGTTGTTGATCTGAGCTTTAACCAGGTGCAATAATATCACCTAGTAATCCACAAGTCACGTGGGAGATTAATTATTTCATGAATTATTTATAAATGTGAAGGATTTATGCCATTGTAGGTATTTGATTCATTAGAACCTCCAAATTAACTCAGTTTGTGTGAAAATAGTGAACAACAAAATTAATTAATCCTAAAATTGCATTTAGGAATTTCGTGAAATCTAATTTCGAAAGGTGAAATCTTTTTGGTACGAGTCAATTTAAAATTAAAATTATATTTTAGGGTATATTCCACCAATTTAAAATAAAACTTTCCTTTTTAAGACTTTCTATAAACTTGGAAAAAAATTTTAATTTCCACGACATGGATTGAAACTTGATTAGAAATGTTTTACCACCATCACAACTAGAGTTAATTGAACGTAATCAGTTTTCGAAAAAACATTTTTAATATTTAATTATCGCAAAACCGAAAGTGATTGTGACGTGAAAAATCTTATCTGTACTGTTTATTTCTTATATTCACGTGGTTTGTAAAAACGTATAAATTTCGCTATTTCTCAATGTTGATTAGAATAAGATAGATCTAAGAATGTATACAGTAATATATTGTTGGAAACTGCAATGAAGCTTATAAGGTGTTTCAATTGATTATTCTGTATCGCCGGTGGCTATCGTCAGGTCGAAATTTAGGTTCCTGAACTCAAAACTCGGGTGTATCAAACAAGGGTAATTTTGTAAGATTTATATCAACCAACTTTGCTAAATTGATTATGAATTCAGATGAAGCATATGCTGATATTATAAACTATGCAGACACAGCTGGTACTTGAACACCACCTATTCATTGAAACTTCTTATGTTTCCACAAAGAACTCATACCATCAAAAAGACTTTCCTGGTTAGAAAATATTACTGAATTTGTCACAGTCAAGGTGCGTAGTTCAGATTTTCTAACCCCCTAAAATAGCGATGCTAACACAATTAAACCTAATGCGCCAGCCAAATGCCTCAGTCTCACAAAGAAGGAATTAAAATCGGATTTAAATCGATCTTCTACTCTTGGGCGATAAGTACTTAACAAACTTCAAAGCATTTTCAACATTTTCAAAATTTAATAAAGATTAATTAAAAATAAATGTATACAACTTTATTTTAAATGACGCGTAAAATTAGACAGCTTTTACAAATACGCTAATTGGCGTCAAAATCTTTCCCCAAAGACGTCGATAATCATATTTAAAAATGCACACACTGGGTAATTTGATCAAATGTTTCATCTCCCGTTTTTCATATAATTTTAGATATAAGACATTTTGAACTACGATATTTACATCCAGAGTGAGTTTCGAATTCAATAAAACATGCAGATTGAAAGAATCTAACCTTTGAAACTAGTATAACAATAACAAGAGAGCTACGCACAAATATATGGACACGTTAGACCAGAGCGAATCAGTCCTTATCGGTACCTTTGACGCTACCGGTACCCTCAAAAAAGTTCTGAATTTCCAGTAGCAAGAATTTTGCAGAATCAAAACGTACAGCCAGTCATGACACTGACTAAAATCCGTGTTCCCATGAATAAAAAATAATAAAGCAAAATTTTAGACGAAATATCAAATTTCATAGAATTTACGCAAAATTTTGAAATAAATAAAAGTAATAGCCTTCTAGCGAAAAAATTAATCTTTAACCACTGAAAATTTCAAAGCAATTGGTCCAGTATTCGAAGAGAAAAGCGACTTTTTAAAAACGTGTCAAATAACAAGAACAAGAACAAGAACAACAACAACAAGAGAGCTATGCTCAAATATATGAACACGTAAAGTCACATAATTTTGATGACGTCATAGCGAAAAAAAAGTAATAGCCTTCTGGAGAAAATTGTTATCTTTAACCACTGAAAATTTCAAAGCAATTGGTCCAGTATTCGGAGAGAAAAGCGACTTTTTAAAAACGTGTCAAAGAACAAGAACAAGAACAACAACAACAACATAATATTGAAACGATCGTTATGTCCACTACGTGTCCAACAACAACATAATATTGAAACGATCGTTATGGCTACTAAACGTGTCCAAAAACCGGGTAAAGTTGTAACGAACATGCCTCATGTCAGTAAAATTGATCAGCTATTATAGAAACTGAGGCTGACATCACTTCTACTCTCAAAGATACTCGAAAACGTCTGAACATCAGAATATAAGGCTTGTAATATCATTAGTCTGCCTTTTTTTTTTTGCTGTACAGAATTTTATTGACAGGAATTCAATGACTGCAAATATATTTTACTTGATTTTTTGCAAATCGGTATGGGGAGTTCAAATATGTCCATTGATGTTGTTATTTTTGTTTCCGTATTAATATCTTATCTTATTGATTTTGTCACTTCTCATTGATTTCCAAAATACATTATTTGACCCTTCACCCGTATGGTTTTCAGTTGAAGCAAGTATGGAGAAAGTGTGTGTTCAACCAAGGTATCGCCTTTTTTCAAATACGTCATCGGTTGCAGCGTTTTGAACAACCAAGTTTCCGATTGCAGAAATCTCGATACAACGATTTGAATACAAAATGAGTTAGTGGCACGACCTAGTGCACGATTGGATATAAAATTCCTATTAGGGTAGTCATATATATTGAATATAATAAAAATATATTGTATTTGAGTGAAAAATGAATTAAATGAAGCTGAAATAGGCCACGAATAACTTTCATTTGTGACAAAATAATATATACCTCCTGTTGTCGTGGTAAATTTAAGCTAATCATATTAATATTTGAGAGCTATTAACCTTACCACAAACCATGGTATCAAATATTAGTAAACTGTGCCGCTTCGAACTCTTGCTTTATTTTATGAACAGTGTATGTGCATGACAAATTGAAACTTTGGAGATATTGATTCATATTTACTGTTAATAGGTTTCGTTATTATGTTATTTGAGTAGGAACAAATGTTTAGATTTCACCTAGTTCTTTAAAATCATTTAAAATGTAACATAAGGGTTGTTGTTGTTACTTGGCGCTCATCCATGCGACTTTGGTTAAACAAAACGCTATTCGCTTACAATATCTTTATTCCCAGAGGGTGTAGCTAACGATTGCGGACGAAGATTAAGACGCATTATCTTAGATAATGTATGATAATAATCTTACTTGAAATTGGCAGGTAGAAACAATAAAGTATTAGTAGACGACATAGCAAATATATATGCTATTTTGAATTGCGTAACTTTTTATTTATTTTTCTTGCGAATAACCGCGCCAAATAGGAATGCATGCAAAAAAACTATATTCGTTTTAGATGTATTCCAGATATAATACGACCGTTTACTATTTGTTTGGTATAAATTTTGGGTATTCCCGTAGTGTGTGTACCAGGCTAGATTTAGGTCATAATTTTATTCAATTTTCCTTATTGACTACCTGTGTTAGTCAAATGAATATCCCCCTGCCTATAGATTTACCTCCATAAATTGTTCACACACTTCTGGCACGTTAAATTTTGAACCAGTTTAATATACTTATGCGCTCTACATATTTTTTGTAAATATTCATCATACACAAACCATGCTAACATGGTGACGGACATAAAAACTAGAATGGTCAGTTAATGTAGCTCTCTGACGTCGCCTAGTGTAAGCTACAAAAGGCTGACAGGAATACAAATCCACGTGCATGCATAGAACTAATAAAATTTTAAGAAATATCGTTTGAATCTACTATGCGTTTAGTCAAAGATATACTGCTCCGTGTTTTATTTCTATTAGCAAATAATTATTTCCTATTTTAAGGTAGCTTAAAATGTAAAAATAACGAAAACTGAAACCCGGCAAGCTGGGCGAGGTAGAAAATAGCCGTTTGTGTTTCACTAATTCTGCAGAAAAGCTCTTACAAACACAGATGATCGCTAGTGTTTCGGCAATTCCTGAAACTCCGTGCTTTGCATATAGTATAGCTGACTTTCTTTCTGGCATTACAATCATAATATATAACTAACCTGCACACCCCGACTAATTATTGCATATTGTCAAAAATGAAATCATTTTTTGAACCACAAATCTCTTGATGGGGAGATCTCAAAGTAGCAACCCACTATCCGAAGAGCACACTAGACTGATATCTATTATACAACTTTTACGGTTTTTGTATAAGAGTCTGCGGATGAGGTAGATTCCGGTGTACATTTTTTCTCGACGAGAAGATTTTACGTAATCTTCATTTCAAAAGGATATTCCGATGAGCTTTCGCGATATTGATATCTTTATCTCGTCAGATAAAATTTGAAATTGTCGTATTATGAATGTAATCTTGTATTTTGGTCAAAACGCGACATGTTGTTAAGTATAAAGATGATTATAAAATCTATAATCTTCATCTCCCCTTAAAAAAATCATTTTTTTGTTTTGTTTCAAGAAACATTTGATCGTCATTTTAGTTAGGAACGTGATTGCAAAGTGCGATCAATGTAGATTATTTATCATTGGACCATAGTTGAGAAGGCAAAATCGAGAATATAAAGAAAATAGAAATGGGGCTCAGTTTCAATCGAT